ACTGTTATTTGATGAACTGCCTGCGACTAGCCATAAAGTTCGAAAGCTCTCCAACAAAGCTTTGCCTGAAAAGGAGCCTGTTGTTCTATGGAGGCCTGTAGCCAAAGACCAAGAGAGGACCCTGAGGCTCTCTCCCCTGAGCTCTGAGCAGCACATTAAATGGCCTCGACGGTGCCAGCCTGTAGTGGTGCTCAATCATCCGGACGTGGACATTCCTGAGGTGGCTAACATCATGAAGGTGGTTCAGCGGCACAGAGGAGCTGTCACCAAAGTCAGCCTCTCTCAGAAAACTATCCAAGCTCTCATTGATATTTCAGCCACTAAATCCTCAACCAAAGATAACTCATCTCAAAGTGACTGCCCTCAGCCTCGCACAGTGCAGAGCTCGGTCCGTGAGAGGTATCTTCTCAAGCTAAAGTTGAGGAGAAAAAGCCGAAAGAAGTATCGGCTGGTGCGCACTGTTCCGGACCCTCAGCAGTCTGTAGTGTTTACCTGTTGGTTCTGTGGCCGACACTTTAACAGTCAGGAGGCCTGGATCGGCCATGGACAGCGCCATCTGTTGGAGGCCACAAGAGACTGGAACACTCTAGTGTAAACACAACATTTTTAAGGACCTGAAATTGTGAAATATTCTGTACTGTAAATACTGATTTTTATTTGATTTTCATCTTTTCAATAGTGCATATTCCAGTAAATTATAATGCAAATGAAAAGTGTGGATGTTGCATGCATGCACAGGTCAGATTTAACTGAAATCGTACCCTCGTTTCAGAACACTGTTACAGAGGGACACATCTTTAATATGCACATCAATACACTGCTCAGGTAACTCCAAATTCCGGTCTATTTTTGCTAAACGTGGTTATACACCACGTGTGTTACGAACAATGTGTAGGTCCTGTTTAATTTACATTCCCATGTCCTGCCCCTCAAGTGGCCAAATGGACCACACTCTGATTGCAGGGTACAAACTCCATAATCTGTTATTTATTCACTCACTCTGTTTTACCTTTTCTTTATAGTAACTGTAAAATCTACTTGCTGTAACACCCTGTAGCTGTTCAGTAAATGTATAATTTTATAGTATTTGTTTAGTGGCAAGATGCTTATTTCTCATTATTTCATGATTGTTTACCAAAAAGGTGCTGTTGTAATGAATGTGTCATTCCCCAATATGCAAAAGTGTACAAAGCACTGCAGAAACACTGCAGCCAATGCTCTCCCTATTTTTCCTAACACTTTCCTCTATCATCATTTCAAAGAAACTTTCACAGAAGAAATGCCTTCATCCAGGGCTCCAAAAATACTCCCTCAAAGCCTCAGCACTGTTTATTGACGTTTTCTTGAGGTAATTTCCAAATGTAACAGACACGCATATAGGCACTGCACAAACATAAAACAATATTCTAAAAACAGTGTCATGCGTCCTCCACCCCTCTCCTTACTGACTCTTGTCCCTCACTGTTGTGTTAGATGATTCTGCTGTAGAGGGGGTTTATAATGGTCTGACAGCTGTCAATCACTGTTGCACTGTAACTGCATGTTATCTGCCCACTTTTCCACTACTGAACTTCTGAAAGCAACCTTCCGATAGTTAATCATCATTAATGCATCTTTTTTTGAAAGAGGTTTGGTTTAGAGCAATGATATATGGCAACGTATAATTTAACTCTCCACTAGAGCCATAAATCAATAATGGACAATCAATATTTGAGTAACATGTCGTGGTCACCACTTTGATGTTAATTCAGTTATATGAAAACATTTTTATAACTTAAACCTAAGCCCAGATATTTTTTCTAAGAACTGGTACAAACATGACATCTATGGGACAATGTTCTGTTGCCTGTCTTCTTTCTGTGAACATTCATTTGAATTTGGGCATCACTCAAAACCAAAACATTACTTACTCTGCAGTGCTGTTTTGTTTGGTGAAATCAAAAAAGTTTTAAATATAATTCTGTATTTTTACTTTGTACATTTTTTGCCTAAATCATGTTGGAATTTATTGTTGAGTTTGAATGGCCAGTCATTCATAATACATTGTATATAGTGTACTAAAAGCTTTTCATTTTTAAATGACTCCACTAAATGAGAGTAAATCAGGTGTGGTGAGCAGGTTCTTTGAAAAGCAGCCTTTGACTTCTGAATGGATGAATGTGTTTGCGTGCACTCTGAGGTGTAGCTTGTCCTCCTTTGTGCAGGTACCTCTGTCCTCTCCAAGTGCCTCTGCGTCCCCTGGACTGGTCGACACATCTTCTGTATTTTGTCTGACCTTATGCTCTTGTTTAATAAATGTACAGACCTCCCTACATTTTTGTGCTGTTTCTTGACCTAAAGGTGAATTTTTTCTTTTTTTTTTATCCAGATGGCCTTTCTGTCCTTGTGACTTGAAATGTCACAATATATATATATTTTTTATGCTGTAATTGTAGTGAGAGGATACTATTTTACAATTAGATTTAGTGACACCATCACCATGAGTGAACAGTGAAAATCTGTGTATGTCACAATAATAGAGTTACTATGTGGAGCCTGTGGTGGTGCTCAGTCATCAGAAGTTAATATGACATAAACTAATGGATATAAAATCTCATTACATTTTTGTTTCTAAAATTCTCATGATAATAGTTATTATTAGGTATTTTTAATTGTTTTACTTTGTGGCCTCTCAGTGTTAAACATAATCCATCCTCCACAAAATGGCCTTTACATGTTTAGTGGAAGGTTATTTAGCCACCAGAGGGCAGCGCTTGAACTTAGAATCCCATTAAAATAAGGGGCACATTGGGGGTGGGGGTGTGGTGGGTGGGTGCGTGCGTGCGTGGTGGGGGCTCATCTGCATCGTCACGGGGGCCTGGGGCAGGTGCAGGCAGCGGGCCCTGTGTGGAGGCCTCTGACTTTAAATAGGTCATATCAAAGACACGGGCCTGATTTTTCTGACTGCTGCTGGACGGGTTTAGACCAAGAGAGTATGTGTGTGCGCAATGTGCATACAAATATACACAGTCCTTCAGGCCCTTACATTCTAATTAATGTTGCCTATGTCTATATATTAGCTAATGAAGTAGGACACAAAAAGAACACTCTTAATTAGCCTATAATATTTTGTTTTCCTATTTAATATCAATGAATGACTAGACCAGACTAAATTCAAATCATTGAGAAAATAACTCAAGGTGGTCATGGTGAGCTTTATTATTTCATATAAAAGTTTTGTTCCACGTTCAACATTAAAAAAACAAAGCAAAACAAAAAAACAAAACAATACAAAAAACAACAACAAAAAAACAAAACAAAAACAAATCAAACAGTTGTTTTGCATAGCAGCAGCCTTCACAAAATGACCTCAAAGGTGCCTTCTGTAAAGCTTTCATATGATACACGAAAAAGTGTTCTTTTTTTATTTTTAGTCAAAGTTTGTATTGTTATTCTTCACAATATTAGTAATTTATACTAAAAAAAAAAAAAAAAAAAAAAAAAACTTACACTACATGGAACATGGATCAAGAGAGAGGTACCACTACAGTAATGGCTATGGACTCCTTTACAGAAATAGTGGCAATGGTAAGAACAAAACTAATTTTCAATAATGGCTAGGTTTCCAGAGCTGCTGGATGTGGGCCTTCACACATTTGTGCTGTAAACCTGAGTTCAGGGATTGTACATCGCTTGAGTGTGTTGTGTATTAACTGGCACTGAGCAGAGATGGTGCACAGCCCACACAGTAAAGGTTTGCTGTGAGGTACAGTTCAGAAACACTGGGGACAATGGGACTTCACTGTCAACATCAGAAAGTGTACAAAAAGTACTATTTTAATTCTTTATGTTTAGAAACAGATGCAACACCTCATTAAACAGTATTAAATATGCAGACCACAGAATGCACAGAATCACATTAATATGCTACTAAACGCATGCTCTGACTGACACATGTGCATGTCATAAATACAGAGAACCACTACAATGTCACAGAACAAACTGCACTCACCCAAGGCTCTCCTCACTGGTGTTTTGTGAACTTTATAGTTGGATATGTGCAGCCTTTAATTAATATTTAAATTTGGGAGGTAAAATATAGATGAAAAACATGAACCTTTTAGGTAAATCTAAGACTATTTTCAGCAGTATGAGTGCTGGCTCTATTTTGGTTTATCTAAGTGCAAAGAGAAAACAACTAGTGCAGATCAGTGCACTGGAGCATTTCTCACAAATGCATTGGATGTCCCATTTTCATGAACCTTAGACTTGTAAGGGAAAGTTTTGATGTAAATATGTCAACACATATGTTAATCCTTCGTATACATTAGCTGAGATGAAAAGATTTGGTTGCACAAATTATTCTAAAAGAGTTAAAAGACGTTGAGAAAGGGAACTTGATGTCTTGGGGCATTAAACCTCATAGTTAACAGCCTTTCTATAATAAATTTGATGGAGATGTGTAGATACGGTAGGTAGACCTGTTCTGTAAAGTTTACTGCTGTTTTTTTTTTTTTTTACACTGTTAATGATCTGTTTAACATCATTCTAACACTTTCCTGTCTAAAAATAAAGGAATAGAACAGTGAGAAAGGACAACCTTGGTGTTCAGTGTGCACTATAGAAACATGCCTTGTGACGTTGGCTCACTTAAGTCCTTTGCCTTTGCTTCCATTATGCATTGCATGCCTGAAAACAGCCCCACTCGAGGTCACCAGCACCTCCACTGTAAACAAAGTGACGTATTACCAACCTATTGTCTACTTTCTATGTCGTATTTCTCATAGAAGCCCATCTAGGCATATGTCTTACAGGGGGCTGCCCTTTTCTGTTGCTGATCTAGACAGAAAAGCCTTTTATTTGGACCACTTATGGTTTATGGCTGATGGTCTCTAAAACCATCTTTGAGTTACTTCTAACTTTGCTTTAGTGAAAAAGCCCAACTTGAGTGTTTAGCAAAAGAACTGGGCACAGGGAAGCAGAGGTGTATGGCACAATGCAGTGTATGGCACTGCAGTTTACTATACAGTAGTCTCATTCTTCCATGGCCCTGTTCTTATGTTCCCCGTGGAGTCTGATCCAAAAATCCCATCTTCCTGTAGGCTGCGGTTTCGACCGATGGGTCCACGCCGGCCCATGGTACCATGCTGTCGTGGAAGTGTATTTCTAGGAAAAGATTTTGGTTCAACTTCTACACAAAGGCGGTTCTGTTTGTCTGAGTTCTGCGGTGTGCTGTTGTAGGGCTCCATGTCCTCTGAGCAGGGCTCCTGGGGGCCATACAGGTGCCACTGACATGTGTGCGGGCTGTGAGAGGGCAGCAGGAGGCTGGCACAGGACATGATGCTGTCAGCCATATTGGGACCATGACTGTGGAAGGACGTGGTGCTGTCAGCCATGTTATGGGCGTGGCTATGGGAGGAAGTGACTGAATCCTGTCTCTGCAGCCGCAGACTAGGGTCAGGGGCGCTCAAGAGCGAGTTGTCCATGCTGGTGGAGTTGAAGTGTGAGCGGTAATCCTGTAAATACGGTCGAGGTCGATTAAAGGAGCGAGATTTGGCGCGATCCATAAGGCAACTTTGTAAGGGGAGCGCGGGTCGTGGGAGGTCATCTTGAAGTGTGTCTGGGCTCAGAATGGTCCCACAGCACTGAGGGGAATGGTTGGCTTTGGGACTGGGTGGAGAATAGACGGTCTGTATAAGGGGAGCAGGGCAAGAAGAGCTGATCTGACAGATGGGCTGATGTACCTCATCTGCAGGACCCAACATTGCCCCATTTTTACAACTGTCCTTGTCCTTGGAGGGGCAGCAGGCCCACCAGCGGTGCCACACATCATCCCGTTTAGCGCAGTGCTGGATGAGGAGGAAAAGGCCCAGTGTGACACAGAAGGCTCCATACAGACAGCTGAAAACCATGTCCAGGAAGTGCCCCAAGGACACAGCCAGTGCCCCAAGCGCCCATGTGGACAGGAACAGGAAGAGTGTGAAGGCTGTGGCCCGCAACTGGGATTTGAAGGAGTGCTCATTGGCCAGCATGGAGATGCCCGGAGAGAAAGGCAGAGGGTCCCCTGGGGCACCCCTGGAGTCCATCTGTTGTTGCTCCTCACTCAGGAGGCACAGCTCATACTTCCTCTCAGGGTGACGTTTGAGCTGGATGTAAGTGCACATGAAGTACACACACATGACCAGGACCACCAATGCCACTGGACAGAAGAACCCTCCCAGACTGGGCTCCCAGGCCATCCAACAACTGAATAAAAACAAGAACAGAGACACTCACTAAACAAGTTGTACGGTAATATTGCAGCTGGCTCAGTGGTTAGAGCACTCATCCACCAACCCAAAGCTCGGCAGCCCCCTTAGGCAAAACACTTCACCTAGTATGAATGAGGTGTGAGGTAAGTATGTAAATGATTTGCCAAAGGGGCTGATGGCACAGATTGGCTGCCTTGCTTCTGGCAGTTTACCCTAGAACAGTACTACAGTAGTACTTCACCACCACAGAGTATGGAGTGAATAAAAGTGTAACAGTAAGTAAAAGTGTAGTGTTTTGAGAAGCTTTGCAAAACTGTAAAGTATTTATCATTATTATTGTAAGTTATTATTATGATATCAAAAATAAGTTTTATATTTGCTGTGTGGCGAGTCACTTACTATTGAGCACCATCTCTGCTCCCATAGTTGTTGACATCAAAAGCAGCTGTCACTCCCACAGTTATCAACGGGAACCCATCACTCACAATGTAGAATCTGAAACATATAGTCATGTCTATTTAGGCTGAGTTATCGTGTGCTCCAAAAAATAAATAATTACGATGTATGATGAAGAAAGCTGTCCTTCCTTATCTTACCTAAGTATTGTGGGTTTGGAGTGGGCTTTGGCCGTACCAGTCCTGTCTGAGGCCTTCAGAGGGTCTTTAGAAACATCTTTGTAAATGTTTCGAGCAGTAAACATCAGCCATAGCATGGTGGACAGAGATGCATACTGCAAGAGCATACCAACCTGACAGAGATCAAACACAGATCTTAGAGAGAACATGAAAATATTATCCCAGCTGTTTCTTCTTATGTACATAAGATGATAGGGGATATTTTGAATTAATAATCTCACCATCTGACAGACAAAGGGCATGTTGATCTGATTGATGCCTCCAGTGAAGACTCCAAACGTGAGACCAGTATGAAAGAGGAAGTTTAGCAGCATGTGCCACCCATTTCTGTTGATGCGGATCACACTGTGGGACATTCAGTAGAGGATGTGTGACAACAAGTCACTATGCATACTATTCACTCAAAAAAATATGGCAAAAATCAAAGCTTAAAAGCAGTAGCATTAGACTGTCATATGAGTGAACAACCTATATCTGAAATGCGCAAGTGCTGCAGCAGGTTTGCTTTCCCTTAGGTTGTTGTAGCCTAGAGCCAATAAAATAATAATAGCCTCCCTCTTTGGCAAACATCTGTGTTTTGCTGTATTGGACTATTAATCATAGAGTAATACTTAAACAGTTGAGCAGAAATGGTTTACAGCAGAGATGGGCAAAGAGAGTTTTTTTGTAGTCCTGATACCCGTTATCAATCGTTATCAATATCTGCTGATGCTTAAAACAAGGTGAATTTAACAGTCTGTTCTAAATATGCACAGAATCTTGTAATCAATGACTCTGCAACAGCATAGTATAAACATAAGTGCAACGCATAAATGAAATGAGATATGAGAGAGGCAACAGTGTCCAGTCTTTAGAACAGAACAGATCAGTCCTGGAGCATCTCTTCAGGTGTCCAAAACTTTAGTGCCTGGATATGGTCTTACAGTCTGGGCCCAGGCTTATGGGGATGATATCTTACCTGTGATGCACAATATAGGTGAAGACGGACACGAGCAGACATAGCAGCATGACAGCTGTGCAGGCATACACCACCGGGTGGAGGTAGTCCCCGGGGTATGGTGGGAAAGACAGCACCCGCTTTAGGTCCTGCAGAACAAGAGCATTAAACAGGCTATATCAGTGAGCAGCTCAGTCCACACTCCACATATGAGCTTTAGAATCTCTGATGTGCATTTAAAGAAGACACACAGACAGACATAATGAGGCCACACGCATGTGCAGGTCCTCAGCTGATGTTGTGCACTGTAAGTGTGGTGTTGACATCAGTTCCTTAAAATAACTCTATGCACATCATTAAACATGGATAAGGCTCTGACGGGTCTCTGAGACTGCCACAAGCACCAGCTCAGAGCCAGAGCCAGATTGGCCCTTCCAGAGTTAGAGGCATTTCATTTTCAAAAAGGTCAACTAAAAGTCCGCTTTTGTTTGAAACCAGTCATGTCAGTTATTTTTATTTATAAATTTTGACAGACCTCCTACAGTATTCACCACAACTCCTAAAGGCTAACCAGTCAGTCCAAGCCAGTTTATGGCTGATGATACATGCTCAGACAAGACAAGCTTTGACAATTTTATGGTGATGAAAGTTGCTTTAACATTTGTTTAAATTGTAAGTAAGGCCTGAAGTCCTCCATGCACTTGCTCTACGCTCTTCCTTTTCTGATGTACTGTCTAATGTCTTTCTCACACACCTGTCCCGCACATCGCTCAGACGGCGTGCACATGAGCACTATGAGCTCTGAATGATGAGTGGGGACAGTGGGAGGGAGCAGACCCAAGGGCTGAGGACTTTCATGTAAAGCTGACCTGAATACAGTTGGCGTTCCAAGCGCGTGTAGTCTCTGTGTGTGCGTGCATGTGTGTGTGAGTGTGTAAGCCAGGCCGTGTGTGGGGGCAGCAGGCTGACTCAGAGGCTCCGAGTGCCCACAGCCAATTCTGCTCCGGAGCTCTGTGTGGAGATGCCTCTACAGAACACACATCTCATCGCGCTCCACTGAACCACTATCTATTAGACGCAGCATGGCTGACTAACTCTCAGCTCCTCCACGCGCTGAAAGCCCACTGCTCCAGCCGCCACCATGTCTTCATAAATAATACAGAAAAGGCAGAGGAGTATATGACTTGTTGATGTTAATAATCATTGTTACAAGAGACCAAGAGGCTTGTCACATGATGGCTGAAATAGTTGAGTCTAATTGCTATATTACAATGTTTACAAATTAAAATTGAGAAAGAAAGCTCTGACCACTGAACTCTCAGCTAGGGCTTGTAAAATCCTGACAAGCTGGAGGATGTAATTAAGCTTTTAGTCTATGCATCATGCTCTGTCCACCCCCATTGTACAGAGCCTCATATTTGCAACAAACAGCGTGAACATAAGGACGCACACAGAGGGGTCTCCACTGGTCACCCTGAGAGGGACAGAGTACATGTGATTTCTATGCACCTCATGATCAGGGAACATAACCTGCACCAAAGGTCAACACTGCACTGAACTGCATTTGTAATGGTTAGACAAAGGCTAATATGCACAAACAACATAGGACAGATTTAAGTAGAACCGCGGACTACACTGCACTCACCATCTGTGTTACTGGAGTCCGTTCAGCTCTGGAAAACTCTGTCCTGGACCATCCATGGGAGGCTGGAGCGACTGAGTCTCACTGCCTCCATCCTAAAAGCACAAATACACAATCAAAAATGTAATAAAATCTTTGGCTCATAAAACTGTGCTGTCCGAAGTTTGATTTTATTCAAACATTGGACAATGTAAGTAATGCAACTCCTGTAACTGCAAAACGATGCAGTGAATATTAAATTGTCTTAAAATGTTCCCAAATGACATAAAACAAAGACAGCATAACTTTCACACAGAATGTTTTGAGGTCTGTTAAATACACATTACTCGAACCTCGCGGGCATTTAGTTTTACGCGGCAACATCAAAAGATCCTCGTGCAATGCCGGCAGCCGCAGATAATCTAGTGAAAATTGTCGGAGCATCACATATGGAAGTTGAGGGAGAATGCGCTTACCTGCGCGGCAGGACTGCTCTAGTTCGGCGGAGACAGAGGAATGACGCTCCTCCGTTCTGCCGCGCGCTCACAGCATCTTATGACGTAGCGGTTACCCACGCGGCACGTGGGACAACCTTGACGTCACCAGGCTGCTCCATCACCTGGCAAACTACCAGGATTAAGAGAAATACTAGGAACTATTGAACTGTTTTCCTGCTTGAACAAATCACCACAAAAGGGCATTGGGAAGCACAGGATGGTGAGGACCTAAATAGCCATGAAAAAAGAGGTGTAGCCTATTCGTGCTTACAGCAGTCTGCCACTTAAAAAAAACGCCCAGACGAAAAATGGGTTAGCCTACTGTGCAATTAGCGCTTGTGCACAGTGTAAAAGATTTGCAACATGATTATTTTATCTACCACAGGTCTATAGGCTACAATCGCAAAAAGGACTGGACCGTATCAGACTAATAAATACACTGGTGTGAGCCACTTGATTTATCTGCCGATTTACGTAGCCTGTTCATTTTATGATCATTGGACAGTAAGCCAATAAAAGATCACTACCGCAGGTGAAGGAGGTGGCCAGTAGTGGCCGCTGTTGTTCCATCTCCATTATCTTGGATGATGAGGAGGAGATGTTGTCATGACAACGCGTACACAACACCCACGGCATGGACATGTCTGCGGGAGGAAGACGTACTAACAAATATCTGTCAAAAGAAAGTGATTCAAGGACTAATGTAAACCATCTCAAGTCAGTCACATTTATCTGCTTAAATTAGCCGAAATAAATTTTTAAAAATCCTCATAAATTTGCCTAGAAAGAAGAGGCGATTCCGTTTCTCCAATGGGGCGTGATGTCGCTGGAGCAGCTTGAAGTCGCGCTGGGAAAGAGCGAGGAGGAGCTGCAGTTGTGAGTAGGCTTCCCACTCGTAACAACACGTGTCCCACTGCTGACTACAATTTAGGAATCTTTTTAAGTTATTAGCCATAGGCTGCCAACACAAAGTCTTTGACAGTACAAAACTAAATATATTAACTCATAGGTTTATAATGTCAGTTACTGAGAAAAGTAGCAGTCCAAATGGGCCTATTTCACTTTTTTACTGCTGCTATAGCCAATAAGCTATATCACATTTGTATTCTACTAGTCTGACCTAATGACTTCGTCTGTAGTAATGTGTTCCTATGGTCTGTTATTCAGTCTTTGGCATATTGTTCAGTACTTAGAGATCCAGACCATAGTTGATAAAATAGCATACATTCTGGCTATTCACAGACTTCTGTTGGACAAGCTGCACCTGACCAACTCAGATATCTGTATGAGGGAGGCTGCCCTGCTCCAATACTACCTCCAGGGGCTGTGCTGGGCCCAGGACACTCACTTCAGCTCCCTCCAAACATCTTTCAGTATGGCAGTGTTGGACACACTGTTCCACAATATTACAGGTCAGAGAACCTTCCTCTTAAGACTCAAAGTTGAGGAATATAATTCTGACATCACAGAGTGTGCTATTGGTTAATTCTATTAAATGGGTACTTGCATGATCTGTCATAAGATAATTCCTTGATCTCTGAAATGCTTATGAATAATCCAAGTAGTGAGGGTATTTTTGGATCAGACATGAATCTTGCAACAACAAGAACTGTGTGTGTTGAACAGAGAAGGGTATGGACTTTGTCGACAATGTGCTGGAGTTCGCCAAAGCACTGGCTGTAGCCTGCCATTGCCCTTCTGGTGCTGAGGGTCCCTCTCCTCTCCTGAGTCCCAAGGAGGCGAAGGGTCTCATCAGACTCATCAGAGACACGTGTGTATCAAGTTACAAATGACTTCTTTGACTACTTTGAGGTTTTTTATGTCAGGGCAAACATGTTGTGAATATATATAAAAAAGTATAAAATTGCAGGATTATATATTTGTTATTGCTAACATTAGCATGTTGCTTCAGGCCAGTATCAGTTGTCATCATTTAATTCAAGAAAAGAAGTTTATTAATTAAATCAGTTCAAAAACATTCAACATAATAATAATAATAAAAAAAAAATCTGTAGTCTATTTTTACATAGTGGGGCTTAAAATTTGTTAGAGGAAAGACATTGTTCTGTATGATATTCATGTTGTCCAAACAGTTTGTTTCAGAAATACCGGCTGTTCAAGGCTCTGAGCTCAGGGCAAGAGGAGCTGTTGCTAGGTGCTCAGGTCAGACCCTTCTCATTCATTGTTTGTAGGGGATATTACTGATTACCTGATCATAGGATATTAAATGTAGTACAAAAAGCGATATTAAAAATCTATTTAAAAAAAAGTAGTATAAAAATCCTTGTTTTGTGATTAATAATGATGTCATGTTTGCAGGAGACAGTGGACCTGCCCTGGAGTCAAGATGCTCTTACAGTATTGGAGGAGGGCATCCCCACACACCTGGTTACCCCTGACATTAACCAATAACAAACTATCTTCAGATAGCACTGGTGATTTTAGCCATATAGATAAAAACCTACGTGTTTGTGTCCAAGAGGAATTTATTTTAAAAAATCTTTTCCAATGCCAATCAATAAATTCTTTATGGACTTTATAGCGGGTTATTTGCATTACAGTTTAGCGAGCCATGTCTCGATGATGATTGAAGATACTGACACATACAGTTCATTTTAGTACATGTACTGTATTTCACACCGCCATATGTGTATTTAAAGTTTACCATAGAAAAATTTAAATACATGCATTTGGGTGGAAAAATGTATCTGTTCTGAAACTACATAGACTTAAAAAAAAAAATATGGACACAGTCTGTTGCTGTTCAAAGAAAAATTGTAATTACACAAGATGTTACAAAGTTTTCAAAACTGGGTCGACTGAAACACCATCGGCTGTGTAACTGAAGCGACCAAAGGCTTAAATTCCTTCCAAATGGCACTTATTCATATGCTTCTCCATGCTCCTCTTATGTGAGAATGTCTCTGGGCAGAGCTGACAGTGGAAGGACCTCTCCCCAGTGTGTAGCCGCATGTGTCTCGCCAGGTGGGACTTCTGACAGAAGCACTTCCCACACACGCTGCACTGGTATGACTCTGCGTGCACCTTCATGTGTCGGATCAGAGTCTTGGTCAGAGAGTAGGCCCTGGGGCAGCAGGGGCACTTATAGGGCTTCAGCTCTGTGCCTGCTTTAAGACGGCTGATCTTTTTAGGCAGATTCTGTGAATGGCTCAATGGTTGGTTAGACCCTGCATAACGCGCTGCTTTGGACTTTATGAGAGTTAGACACCTGCGTTCAGGAGAGACTGGCTGGACTCTGAAGAGACATAATGGTCGTGGAGATTCACAAGCCAGAGCCCCAGATCTGGACTCAGCACTCCTGTCTGCTCCACAGTCTGTGTGATCAGGGCTGCACTTTGTGGTTTTGTGAGACTTCATCTTCTCATTTTCTTCATGGTGTGTCTGTAGAAGATGCAAGCTGGTCCTCTACGTGGAGCTCCCAACACAGTTTCACATCTTCTACATTGGATTGTGGCCCTACGGGCTCCGATTCTGAAGCACATTAAGATCACTGAATCTTCAAATGAGACATATATGAGATAGCAGGACTCCGTATTACCTCCGTGCGCTGCATCCAGCTGCTGACTGTCCACCACCCACTTGGTACAGGGCTGTCCGTCTGGCAGCAGGGTACTGTGCACCAGCCGCAGGATCTCTTCTGCTGCTGTGGACAAACACTCTGTGACCAGAGCACGGAGCAAGTGCATCTGTACCGCACTGTTCATCCTCCAGGGGGTGTCCGCCACTGACGTTCCACAGGTTTGTACTCTAAAAAGGCCATCGAAACAGAGGAAAAATAAACAACTTATAAGTTATTATTATACTTTTTTTATTGTCAGATAAATAAGGTAGGTAATTTAGCAATAGGCTATATTGTTGTGTGAATTAGAGCTAGAGAAAATACAGAGAGTACCACCACTACACAGAAGCATATTATTATTTTAATTAATCATTGCATTTATATAGCGCCTTTCAAGATACCCAAAGCGCTTTACAGTTCATTATTCATTCACTCGACACTCAGTGGTGGTAAGCTACTACTGGAGCCACAGCTGCCCTGGGGCACCTTGGCGGAAGCGAGGCTGCCAATCTGCGCCATCGGCCCCCCGACCACCATCATCACTCATGCACACACCACTTTCATATTAGGCAATGTGGGTAAAGTATCTTGCCTAAGGTCACAACGACAGTTTTGGCCACTGGCGCCCCACTGCATATTAATGTAGCATATTAATGTAACGCTATTTAGAAAAGCAGTAAAAGTCCATGCTGTCAGTAATAAGGAACACGTGTGTTTTTCAGATTTTGTTTCCCTAAATCAGAATCCTTACGTTACCACTCCGCCCGATCACTCAAAGGTACAGAGCAGTCCACTCCCACCGCTTCTCTTGTCCCGCGTCTCGTCTCCACACACTGAGCCGTGTGCGCTTCTCTTCGGGCTCTGCGCTCCTGCAACAACAGAGTTTTATTTTAGGCCCACAGATAGAGCACCTGGCAGGTTGACAACAACAAAGACAACGTTCTTCTTCTTGATTCGCGACAGACTCAAAACCGAGCTCAAAGCAATGCTGCCCTCCACTGGATATACAAAGAGGATAATAATCTGAAGACCTGGCCAGCCAGAACATCAGGTTGATAAACCAAAATTACAACCAATGGATAGGTAAACTATGGTAAACTAGCATACCAAATGCAGGTATATCAGTAAAACACAGCTGTACAGCTACTACTTTGAGAAATAACAGAACTTGGTGTTGTGTTATTTCATATGTTACATAAAAGATGACAAAGTTTTAAATTTTTCATTCACTCAGTTGCTTCATTTGCCTGGTGGATGAAGTGTTTTGCACATGGCCACAACAACAGAATGCACTGTTTGCAGCTGGGATTTCACCACAAATGCTAATCTCATTGTGTCACATCTTCCAATATGTTGTACGGGTGTACAACACCTGACCCCTTCGGACCTCTTCTTTGGGGTCAGGCAATGCAATTGAGGAACAAATCCAAGTTCAGATGGAGATATTGTGGTGGGGTTGGGGAGGGGTTGCAAATAAATATAGTCTGAGAATGACTTTAATCATTAACATTTGTCATTTGTGGGTTTTCCTTCTGGATATTTATTTTTAGGAAATACCTATTATATTACCTCCCTTGAAACAGAAATGGTGGCGCCTGCCCCCCAGAGTGGACCATTAACACACACACACATAACTCTAACCTTGATCCATGCAAGTGCCAGAATAGAATCATGTTTTCAGACAATGGTGGATCCTGTTCACTACTGTATCAATGTATTAGACTTTCCATTTTCCTTTCCCCTGCTGATATAATCATTAATTCAATTGTTAAGTGAACTTTCTTCGAATGAGTCATGCAACAAACAGAATTAGTTACATGACTCTAACTCTAGATAGTCAAAGAAATGTCACTGCAGGGAATTTGAAAAATGATAGGTCTATTTAGGCTAATATAACAGACCATGTCTACTCTAACATATTTTTTTAAATGTTTAAAACATTTAGCTATTGCAAGAGGTGAGAATTCACGCTTCAGAAGGAATGAGGAAAAGGACATCCTGTGGAGCCACAACAACAGGAAGAGCTAACACCACCCACATCCAGCGCTGTGACCATGCCTATGCTTATAAGTCCATACTTTTTCTCCTCTACCCAGAGGTAGGCATCTCAGTGGAGGGGATGATGCCACCACAGTAAAATCTGTATATATTGTACTTTACCATCTACTGTATTTGCTCCTGATGAAACACTGTTGGGAGCTTCATACTCAGCGATGCTCTGGGCAATGCTTATTTGCTCTTAAAAATAAGGAGAGTCAAAAGACACATGAACAATTATCACACTGTAATGATGCAGGAGCTCAATGTGAGGCCAATGTGACATGCAGGCAGTAAAGGTTAAACATCTGGCATGTCCTGTCCTTCCGCCAGAGCAGGACTTGGGTCTCCTTTCTGCAGTGCCCAGAGACACATCTCCAGGTCTCAGCACCTAGAGAATTTAGCTTTTTGCCAAGATTTAGTTTAAACCTAGATAGATATTTAAGCTTGATGGAGTAAATTATTATTATTAAAATTATTTATTTATTATGAAAGCATTGACTCTCAACCTGGGGGCCGTAAAATGATTTCAGTGGGTCTCCAGATTATATAAGCAAGAATTTTAAATGTATGCAATAGTCACAAGGAATGATACTCTTCAAATGCAGTGGTAAATCTAGATTCCTCATTATTGGTCTTATATCTAGGCCTTCCCACTTCCTACCAGAAGTGAACACTGACAGAAAGGAGAACATGCTAAATCGACTCTGTAAGCTTCTCTGTTTTATTCTTATTTTAAAGCCTTTGTGCCGGGGGTATGGAAGTGTCATTGAGAATCCTCCTGGATCAGCGTGTGGAAGCGACAGCTGCTGATTGTACTACAGCGGGTCACATGACCACCTCTGATCCTCCCTCCGCTCCGGCTCTAATGCTGCGTACAGCCCACAGAGCAGATTAGAGCAGGCTCACGTTCAGGCAGCACATGAACTCAACACAACAAGCCCAGCACTGAAACCAGAAGAGACCAGCACGAGAGAGTCAGGAGAGCAGCAGGAGCCAGGAGAACAGAGGAACCATGCACTGGTCCTGAGCATCATGAAGCAGGTGACACACTCTCTCTTTACACACACCACAAAACTGTTACTATTTTGTGTAGCAGAGTTCTTTATGGGGTTATTGAATGTGGTCTTGTACCTTAGGTATTGCACTTTATATGAAAACTAATTTAATTGTTTTATATGACAATTGCAAAAAAATCAACTGAGTACAGAGGCAGCACATATTAGAGGTGGGCCCTGCTCAAAATTGTTGGTGCTATATCTAAATATTTTTAGTGTATGCATGTGTTTCAGATTCTTGTTTATATGTTTTATTTCCCATTCAAAATATATGGTATTTTGTTTTGGTGTATTAATTGCTATAGCAACAGTGCTAGATTGTCATCATTCTGTAACCGTGATCAGTTATTGTGGTCAGTTATTTTCCAGCAGTGAGCCAGTGTGTACATATGCGCGTGAAGGGGCTCTCGGTGGCAAAGCTGGTGAATGAGAGGATATCCTGCCACACACTGAAAGGAGGGGGCTGTGGGGGTCTATCACTCTTTAGGGACACAATTCTGCCCATGGATTTATCCTAGTTTAACACACACAGTTTCCATGTTTAACAAAGCTATCTGCAACATTTTGAGGGCCTTTTCCCAATCAAAACATAAAATATTTTGCTTTGAATTGTTAATTGTTATGTCAAGTGTTCTCATTTTTCATCATTCTGAAACCCATGGATCCTTTGCTCTCTTTTCCTATGTCCTTTGCTTCTTTCTTCTTTGACACCATTTCTAGCTAGAAATAGAGACTGAAACTGAACCAGAGGGGATCCCCCATCTGAATATAATATTGTGAAATGACCCACTAACTAAATTAGGTCTGCTGGTAGTGAGAGTATAGAACCAAAGGTAGTGTTCAATAAATCTGCATGATGTGACAAATCAAATAAATTAACATACAGGTTTAATTACATTTGTTCACTATTAACATTTCAAAAAGGACCAGGTTAGGCAAAAAAAACAAAACAAAAAAACAAACCCTGAATGTTCTTATAAAACACATTCCAGTCAGTCTATCAGATAGAGGCACATCATTACATCACAGTATATGCAAACAAGGATCACAAGTTTAAATTTGTCTCTACTGCTTTTCATTTTAGGCAGTGGCAGAAAAATAAACCTTAAAAATAAATATAAAATAGATCTTAGCATTTGACTTAATGTATTTATTTGCAATATGGATTATGGTTTAACAAACTTTGAGAAAATGAGTAGTAATTGTCTATTCTATTATCTTTTGGGCATCTTTTTCTTTAAATCCTGTATTTTGTAGCATAAATATATAATGGACAAATAATAGCAGAAAAGATTGGGAGCTGAAGTTGCATAAAAAACAAACAATAACAAAAACAAATGATACCATATTATTATTTTCCAGGTTTATTGTAAAACTGTTCCATGCTTTTGTTCAATTAAGCAGTATTTAGTTGTAGGGCTGCATGTGCCAAGAACTGCAAAATGGGTTTATGATGTCTGTGCACTAGTTGTCTTTTTCAATTCAGTCTTTGTGTGATATCTTTGTTCTTGGTGTTTTTGTTCTATCTGCATTAATAAAGGAAGATGTAGCGAGCAGTTTAACTCTACAGTGGTCAGTGTATCTGTATGGCACAGCTGCATTAGTGCCATGGCTCTGCTGGTTCTTGTTCTTTTCTTACAGCTAAAGCATTGACTTGTACCCCATTGTGGGAGTTGTGGATCCAATTATACTTTTGTGTTTACTATAAGTCTTGGGCACAGTTTACAAAGAGAGAGGTATTCTGTTTAGTGATTATCTATAAACTAAGGCTGTAGCTGTTTCCTTTAGTCATTTAGTTTATTAATTGGCCAATGGTGGTTTAGATTTTTTATATTTAAAATTTTAGGATTAGGATTATAAAAATTTAATATACACTTAAATTTAGAGGCAAAGACCGGAATTTTAGGAGTGACTGGAAATTGGAAAAATTTGCTTTTTCACAGCGCAAGTTCTGTATTATTTTGAGAACTTTAGTCAGTGCAACTCCACACTCCCTTCTAGCTGAATAATCATTGCACATTTGTAGTCAACTAAGATACACTTTCAAAAGTCACAGTGGCTTTTCAAAATAATGTGAAATCAATATATTTTTGTGAAATTAGGAGTGAGAATGGATTTTGATCATTCAGACTTAAAATGTATCTTTGCAAGCTTTCAGGATTACCCAATCATAGTGAGTATTGTATGACATCATCACATTGTGCCCCATGTGCAGCTCTGGAGAGATGTATGTGCCATTTTCTGCTCTGCTTGTTTGAGCTTTAAATAGGACCGTTTAGCCTTGTCCCAGCTCTGTGTGAGTTTGGGTCTCTGACGCCTGAGCTTTGTGGCACAGGGCTGGGTGCACATGTGGCCAGTTGTGTAACACCCTGGGGATTGTGCTCAACTGTGACAAACACCGCTACATAATCAGAGGTGCCCCATGTCCCCACTCTGTCCACCCTGTTACACTGGTGGCCTGAGAGTAAGTACATCCAAAAACTACACCAAACCTAAAACTCTACAATACCCTTTTTTTTTTTTTTTTTAAACAAAACAGAAACAGAAAAAAATTAGGTTAAGGTATGTATGATTAATGTGTGACTAATGTATGACTATAATCACGATTATTGTCCTTATTCATGGGTGTGCAGTGCGCAGCGAAATAAATAGAAGTGGACGTTTATTCATTCAGTAGTCTTGCTCTATGCAGCGCCCTCTAGTGTCTGATTGTGACTCTGTGGGCCCCAGCAGATTACATGGATTAGACAAATCTCTGTAGTGCCGTAAATAGATAAGGGTGAGTGTGGCCTCCCCCACATGCACACAGCACATGCCCTCTGTAGTGGAGCTGACAGATGTTTGACAGTTTAAGACTTTAAATCCAAAAATCAAAGATTCCACTCCTCACAAACATAACACAACCCCGTTGCCCTGGATATAAGACATAGATCTACATGATAGAACAAAACATTGTGCTGCCACGGCATACACATTTGCATAACATCACGGTTGGTTCAGTTGAAGTGCCCTCTGAGTCTGGACGGAACCAGGCTGACACGGGTCCAAGAATCTGCGTTCATTGTTCATCTTGTCAAAAAAGTTGCCACTGCCCGTGCCCCCTGCTGTGGGATCACAGAAGGATTAATTTATTCTGTAAAGGGCTGGTTAGCCTAATGTGTTCCCCAACACATAATCACTGTCCTGTCCCAAAAACATGCGGGTCATGTGACTATGTCTTTGTTTGGTGCAGTGGCAGCAGTGAAGTGCTGAGCCGTGGATTGTAGTAGCTGAGAATTAACAATGTGCGCGCGCGCAGAGGGAGAAATCATAACAAAGAATTGTGTTTTTGAGCTACTCCACAGGATACTTTATCACAAAATGTTCCATTGCCATTATATGTGTGGGTTTGACAAACAGCGTCGTGACGCGGTGTGATGACTGCGCGCACTGACGCGACACGTCGCGGGGAGGTAAGGACGTTGCAGCGCAGAGCGGTCCGTGTGAACCTTAACAAGAGTGTCAGGACGTCTAGCCTTTGTGACAATGCTCCGGTTCTTTTGAAGGGCTCCGGTGTCTGGTCTACTACTGCGAATCCAATGAGTGGAGATGGAGTTGTTTTTTGTCTTGTTGGGATCCCACCTGTCTCTGAAGTAAGTCCGAGAAGAACGCGCTCACGGGGCAAAATATAAGAGGGGCATGGCATTTGTCATCCACCTTCAACATTTCGGCCAGGTTCATGTGGATTTAGAATAGTCCTACTCATGTTTACACTGAACAAAAACAAACCATAGAACAAGCAATAGATAGTGTATTTTCTTCTGTGGAAATGGATGGTAAAGTGAAATGTGATGTTTGCTTTCGTAAAGAATGAGCTTGTACCTAGACGTATTTTGTTCAGCATACTTATAATACTATTATACCACAATATGCTATGTTTTGTTTTTTTATTCGCTGCAGAAGTACTGTAGTGTTGTGTGAGTGCTGGGAAAGGCGTGCCCTGGAGAGCAGCCCACACAATGATGGTTATACATTCCTCACATCAGGGGAAGAGTTCTTCAGCATCTGGGACCATGGCAGAGTCAGTGCTCTAAGTGCGGTGGCAGAGGGGTGCGGCTGAGTGGGCACTGGGCACTCAGACAATGAGAATTCAGAATGGAATGCATGGACCTCCAAACTGTAGCCCACACGCACTCCTCACAGAGTGTCCATTATGGAGCACTGCTGCCTCCTGCTTGGCTCCTGCTCCTCTCTGATACACCCACTGCTGCTGTGGCTCTGACAGGGTTTTACTTCTGTGTCTCTACAGTGAAGACATGCTTTTTACAGGTGACACTGGTGTTTTGGCTCTTGTGACTAGTGACAAAAGATACATGTTTGTTGTGATACTATAACAGGGCATCTCTTTTCACATCTTCTAACATCAGTTTAATCTAATTGTAAACAGAGACTGGATTAATTTATGTTAGCATGTTACGACACTGTAATGATGGGTTTATTGTTGCAACATTTACTCATTATCATGTCATGGGAAACAGCTTGAACAATGGGCAGTGTATTTTACTTTGAAATTATGAAATCAATTAGGGGGGGTCTTAATGGTTTTGGTTTTACTTAGACCTTGGACATAGTCTACGTTAGTACTGCATCTTATGATAAATTATGATTTTTTTTATTACTCAAGTATATTTGGGCCTCATCTGAAGAGCTGTGGTGTATTGTTATTGCTTTTTTTTCATTCTTCTATGTTGTTGGCAGCTCAAGCTCATCTTTGCCAAAAGTAGATCTGGACTCATTTCTGTTTGTCAGAGCGTAGCAGAATACACTGAGGCTGTGCATATTTTTAGCTCCATCTTCACAGCTGACTAAAAATAGGTCGTTCTCTCCATTCCCTCAGCATCAGCATATGTTCTCTCAAACTGTCACATCTGATGATAAATGGTTTTAAATAGTTTGATTTTATGTAACAATTATGTTGTGAGCATGATGAGCAATGATAATAAGAATAATTGCATGGAGATGTATGGAGATGTTTGAGGAAGAAGGCCTAGAATTACTGAGATCTGTTTTTTAATGAAAATGTAATTAAGTAAAGACCCCACATCACCGGAATAATGAAGAGTTGATTCAGTTAATTCGAATGCTGTTTGATGACATGGAAGCTGTTATGCACACAGTGGTCATGTGGTGGCCCTGAGCAGAGGCACTGAGAGGAGGAAGAATCAGGGCAGAAGAGATGTGAGTCAGTGTGCTTATTTTTACCCCAACACAACATCTATGCCCTCGTACACTCAGTCAGAATTTGTACAGCAGTAGAGAATCACAGTAGTGTTTTTTTTTTGTGCTTCTGTGTTGAGCAAAGTGTTTTTGTTATTTTCTTTATTTTCTGTATACTGATGAACCAAGACCTTATAGATGTTTAGTGCGATAGAGTCAGGAATGTTCCTCAGCTGTGGCATTTGGCTGAGTGTAAATGGAGGTGACAGGCGCTGCTCTGGAGAGAACAGGACAGAGTGAGCGCTGGAACAAACAGAGAGGGAGATGTCACCCATGGGAGAAGGAGCATGCTCTGGAACATTACCAACGAAGCATCAAGATGGTCTTCTCCTGCAGTCCACCCACAGCACAGATAACAGCATCATCCACGGCCAGCGCCACTGACTCGTGACAAAGGTGAAGACTCAACATACTCAGTGGAGTGTATTGTGGACACAAAGAACTCAACATTCGCTGGTCTGGAAAAATCATGGCTGAAAGACTGATTTCCTGTTGCATAACTACATGGATTTCTCAGGACTGCTGTGGAACAATTCAGCAAAACCCAGCAATGTTTTGACATGTTTTCCTTGAAGAGCAATCAGAAAATACATGAACAGTGAAGGCACTTTCTTTACTTTATGTCCAGTCATGTCTGGTCTTCCTGACAGAACCAATTCACAAACAGAAGATGATGTCCTCAACCTTGTGTGGATAAGGAGCTGGTGTTTTTATATGAGTTGTTTTGTAACTCCAGGATCAGTTGGATATTAGCTGTTAGCCATAACCATAAAGGATGGTGTTCACTTGTCCAGATGCATGTGAAAGTGTCTGGACTGGTATGTGAGTGCGTAGACTGTACTGATACTTGTGAGTATGCTGGAGGGAGACCTGGCCCCGGTTTCTATGGGACCACAGTGGAGCTTCCAGTGTTCTGTGGGAGTGGACTGTAGTGATGTAGAACCACGCTGCATTTGGCTGGCTGCTCTGAGCGCCTCACCAAGTTTTGAGCCCACTCCTCCAAAGTCACGTCAACTACAGGGGTCTCGCAGGCTCCTGCACCATCACATGACAGGGGTGAGTTAGGGCTACAAAGAATTACTCTATTCTGACACATTTTTTTGCTTGAATCATAGAATAGTATAATTAATGTTTACATCAAATTTACACCACCTGAAAAATAGTGGGTCTCTAGTATTATGAATGGTGCAGCTCTCATATCTTCTTTGCTTTGCATGTTCGGTCTTTTTGGACCTGGGTCTCAGGTCCCACATTTTGATCTCTATCTGTGATTTAATTATAATATATTGTCTTTTTTGAGTAGAGGTATGAATACTGGTCTTGTTAGACGAGGAAGAAAATTCTTCATCTGGTAAAACCTTGTTTTAACCATTATACATCGGTGTCTAAATAAAAGCACTGGAGCTTTGAGCCTGATGGAGGGTGCCGGTGTGTGTGCCTTTTATAGTGGCACTTCAGCACTTATTTGTTTTTCTGAGTGCACTACACATTACTAAGGTCCAGAGTGAACTAGAAACCTAAGCTCTTAAAACTACCCTTCAAGCTGTCTTTAATGGGCAGGGCCCTACACTTCCTATGTGCACAAACAGACTTCCTGTTATTTCGCCTATGCATAGATTTGAGTGTGCATTGTTTAATATACAGCTCAGTACTAGATCTTTGCTTGGGTTCAGCTCAGCATTTCCTGCACTCACTGACCTGCCGAAGTTTCACTCAAACCAGTACATGCTTGATTATAATACTGATTATGAGGCCTGATTCCTGTTGTTATTAATAGGTATCATATTTATAACTCATTATGCATCAACAAATGAATAGTTTCAGACAATGCTCTTTAGAGAGGAACTGAGTCAAATGTATGGCATTGATGGTATTCTGTTGCATCGGGCCTACACCCATTTCCTTTTTTTTCTTTTTTTTTTTTTTTTCTTCTCCTACTTTTGTTTGAACACAGGTTAAGGGGGAGAGGGATGGCATTACATTGTCCAATAAGAACCGACGGCGCCCCCTGTCTTCAGGTGAGGTAGAGGGGTTTTCATGGCGGGGACCCAGGACCATTGTGCTCCAGAAAAACTCCCAGGGCTTTGGCTTCACTCTTCGCCATTTTATTGTCTATCCACCAGAGTCATCTCTCCACTCTCTCAAGGTACATTGTCCAGTCTTATAATGGTTAAAAAAATTACAACAAAATTACCACCAAATTAAGAACATCATCACAGGTTATTTGGCAGTTCATAACATTCTATAGACCAATGTTACAGATTAATGAATGAATATTTTTAAATGCAGATTTTTATTGTGAAGCAGCGAGTTATTGGGTCTAATAAATTAAAGAAATAATCAGGATTTGAATGTACTATTTGGGAACTTTCTGGCAAAATAAAGCGTAATCAATAGGGAAATCAGGCCCTTGCTGCCCATCTGGAAGTATGATATAACCACATTCTCTAGAGACTTTGATAAAAATTGCTCTATAAATGAATGAGCATTAAGTAATTAGTGTTGAGGTATGTGAGGCAATGAAGCATGCTAGGAGATTCATGAAGAGGAGCTTAATGCTTAAACTTTTGACTTTCTTTGTAAACCATTGTCTAATATATCTTGGTTTTAATATAATGCAGATTATTGCTCTGAGATATATGTAACATTGACATCTAGTTGTCTATTTGTCTGGACAGGACAAAGAGAACGGGAACACACCAGTGAAAGGTGACGGTTTCTGCTCATACTGAATAAATGAGGATGAATGAATGTTTAAATACTAATCATTAGGACATTTTGTAGGATGTGTGCACTCACGTCTGGAGCCTATGGACACCATCTTTGTGAAAAGTGTTCGGGAGAATGGTCCAGCTCAGATGGCAGGACTATGCACAGGTAAAAGACTAAAGCAGCGCTAGACTGTACTCTTAAAAGAAATGTATAATTTATGTATAATATTTTTGTGCTTTTTAGGGGACCGCCTGGTTAAAGTCAATGGAGAGAGCATTTTGGGCAAAACGTACTCTCAAGTCATTGCACTCATCCAGAACAGGTACATTCAAACCACATTTAAAATAAATTATATAAGAGTATAAAAAAAAATACTGCATGGGCAGCCCATAGGACCATAGTTCTATGGCTTTGGGGGTGCACTAACAGAAGCTGTGTTTTTCTGTTGCAGTGACAGTGTGCTGGAGCTGTCCATTGTGCCCAAAGACCAAGACATTCTACAGCTGGTAAGTTTGAGGATTTGAGCAATGCACATGCAACACACAAAATGGTTGCCATGCTATCCCTCTTAATATTAATTTAATCACGTAGTGTTACTATTTAATTGAATACACATACAGTACTATTTACCATCTCTCTGTAGGCTTGCTCCCAGGACCCCTATCTCAGGAGAAATCATCCCCACAGTGGAGAGGCACACATTCCGCCAGGACCCTCAGCTCTCTGTGACTCCTGCTCCAGACCCCGCCCCCTCAGCACACTGGACAACTGCCCCTGTCGAGCTGCCTTCTCTCCCCTGGACAACTCAGACACTGGTCAGGACTATGTGCCAAGCACAAACAAGATCCGTTCTTCCTCAGCTCTCAATGCTTTGGAGTTTCACTTTGCAAACCACCATGCCGCCATTGCCTCGGCGACACTCCCACCCCCTCGTAAAAGTAGTCTGGCTGCCTCTACCCGGGCCGAGGCCCTGTGCCGACAGGCCCTGTCTGAATGGTACTACAGCCAGGCTCAGGCTGCAGAGCACTTGTCCCCCCGCAGCCGCGGAGTGTCCCAGGACCGGCTGGCCGGGCTGGGCATAGCACTGGGAGTGGACTCCAGCTTTGGTGAGCCACACCACACAGACAGCTTGCAGCACCATCGGCATGTGGCTACAGCCACATTTCAAGACTCCTATAGACTGGGAGGTGGTAGAGATGTTCCTGATACAAGAAGTAGAGCATGCTCCCAAAACCTATTAGCTGCCTACGCAGATTATGAGCACAACTATGGTCGCTCTGTAGAAACACTGAAACAAGCCTCCACATTTTTATCATCACACAGCCAGCACCCTCAGCACAAAGATCCTGAGTCCCAGAGAGAACTGTCCACCTCTGCGCCGCCTACAGGCCGACAGGGGCGTCAGCAGGTAGCAGAACCCCAGGCTCCACGCAGTATAAGTGATGTTGGCTACAGTAGCTATAGCCCATCCTTCAGCAGAAAGAGCACTTACCTGCTCCAACATGCTCACACTTTCAGAGAAGACAGCCACAGTACAGCCGAGCTGAGTCCCTGTGACAGTGAGGGGCCCCAGAAGCCGCTCTCCTCCCCTGCCCTGTCTCCTGCAGAGGAGGGGACAACACCCTTAAAGCAGGAAGTCATCCTGAGAAAGAAGCCTTCAGCTGCTAACAGCAGGGCAAATGGCAGTTTGGCACAGCAAGCCTTCGAATCACTGTCCTCCATCCCTTTCATAGGTAAGGCTCCTCTGCACCCAGTACAGTACTTTCATACTTTCAACCTTTGGTCCGGACTTTGGGGCTTTCCTTTTTGTGCACTGTGGAGCATCCTCACTTCTCATAGATTGTCATTGTTTCTATGTTTATATGATGTCCTATTCCCTTTAAGTTAAATGGTCACCTATCACTTTTAGGGCTTGTTAATTTAATATCTATCTAAACATGTCCCGTTTTCATGTTGTTCTTTGTGGAACCCAGCCAGTATGAAGAATCGCCGCTCGTCATACTTGCTGGCGGTCACCACAGAAAGATCCAAATCCTGCGATGAAGGGCTCAACATTTTCAAAGATGAAGGCCGAGTTTTCTCGTAAGACACCTGTACAATATTTAGCTGTGAAATTACATTTTGTCTAACAAACAATACTGTGCTTCTTTTTAGAAAACTTCCAAAAAGAGTGAAAAGCTTCTTCCTGGATGGGGTGAGTGTAAACAATTTGCCTAAATGGTTTTAGTGAATTGACTGAGTGTGTTAAAACTGTGCCTGTGTAGTCTCTGGACAGTCTGCGTGCCCAGGAAGAAGCCCGCTCCAAACGCCATTCCACCTCTGAGCTTGGCACTACTGTGGTCAGCGATGTCCGCAAAGAGGGCTGGCTGCACTGCAAACAGGTGCTCAGTGAGAAGGGCAAGGTACGACTGTGTCACTATGGAAAGCTTTTTACCAGTACAAAGTATATAATTTTACATAAGCTTAAATGTCCCCTGTTGATTTTGCTTTTGCAGAAGTTAGGGGGTGGCATTCGGCCATGGAAGCGTGTTTTTTCAGTGCTACGTTCACACTCACTGTTCCTCTATAAAGATAAGAGGGAGGCAGTTCTTCACGGGGCAGGAGCTGTTCCAGGGCAAGAAGACCATTGTCCTATCAGTGTCCGTGGCTGCCTCATTGACATCGCCTACAGCGAGACCAAACGCAAACACGTGCTGCGCCTCACCACTCAAGACTTCTGTGAATACCTTCTGCAGGCAGAGAGCCGTGAGGACATGCTCAGCTGGATTAAAGCCATCCGAGACCACAGCAAGAGTGAGAGTGAGGTGAGGGTTTATGTAATTTATATGGAGAGTATTGGCTAATAAGAAACTCTAAATCTTTGGTCATTTCTGTGTTGTAGGATATTGGATTCTCCAGACAAGCTTTGATTAATAAGAAGCTGAATGACTACAGAAAACACAGGTCAGTCTATGGCAAAGAAGCAGGCCTCTAGAATGGATATACAATTTATATTGTAAGATCATCATAGAATTGTTGGAAAAGAAAAGTTCATTTACACTTGAGTGTCTGTAACAGTTTGTGTTTTGTATCTGTGTAAATAGTCCCATAGAATTTTCAAAAAACATTTCCAGATTTATTATGAAACTTTTACTGTGGATCTGTCCTCAACCGTTTACTATGTTCAGATGACAGTTTCACGTTGTCAGTGTGACAACCAGATGTAATTACTGTGGTTTTTGAATGAGTTGGGCCAATGTGTACTTGTGTGTGCAGTCTGACAGGTCACAGGCAAGACTCCTCTCCCAAAAGCCATCGGATTGTGCCGCCTTCACTTCTTTCCAAGACAGACAACAAATCAGGTAAGAGTGTGGTGAGCATCGATCAGGAGGTGGGACCCTAGGCCATGTGAGGATGGGGGGGCCTCTAGATCAAGTGGGGGTGTTTTTTGTGGCAGAGTCCCCATCCCACTGAGTTCTGGTCACTTCTCTGTGTTGCAGATGACAACAAGACCCCATGGGCCATCAATCTCATGAAAAGAAGCAAGAAGAGCAATAATCCCAAGGCTTTTGGAGTGCGACTAGAGGACTGCCAACCTGCCATCAACCATAAAGTGAGCACTCAGCATAAAAATACATACAACTACTGTATATCTTACACTGTTGTTTGTATGTAAAGTCATGTAGTTTATATTATGCAAGTGAAAAAAAATTGAAAATGGACAATGTAAAAAGTAGTGATGCACCAATCCGATAATGGCTTCAGATATTGATGCCAATATAGAAAGCTTTGCAGGATTGGATACTGGCTTTTAAAAAGCGGTTCAGCTAATATCGTGGTTTAACATATAAATTCATGTATTAAGACTACTGGTCATAGTTGGCCCAGAAAGTCTCATAGTGATTGAACTTTAAAAAAAAAAAAGCTGTTCTGTAGTTACTTCAGAGATAAATAACAGCTAGATTTGGAGCAGCTTTGTCTTATTTTATGTTTGTTTAGAGGATATAAATGTTGTTTTCAGTCTCTGCACTGGTATCTGTTATTATCAGGTATCCACAGATACTTAAATCTATTGGTATTGGAACTGAAAAAGCTGCATCGGTACATCCTCAGTAAAAAGGGTCCTGTGTTGCTCAATGAACCAACTACGCTCATATTACTTACTTATCTGTTTCTGTATTTGACCTTTAAATTAAAATCCTCTTTTCCCCTATTTTTCCAACAGTTTGTGCCTCTAATTGTGGAGATGTGTTGTGGTGTGGTGGAGGGCACGGGTCTAGAATACACTGGCATCTACAGAGTCCCAGGAAACAATGCGCTGGTGTCCAGTCTGCAGGAGCACCTCAACAAAGGGCTTGATATCAACACAGGAGATGAGGTATGGACATTTTCTCACAAGACAGAACTAACAGACCAGTAGAAAAAGATAACAATATTAGACGCAGTTCTGCAATGTGGGATTCTTTCTCCATAAATACTAACACAGTCATATCGCAGCCCATTCAAAAACTGTAGAATATCTGTTGCGGCTGTAGCAACAGTGCATATGCTTTCCCTTGGTAAAGGCTGTATAGAAAACTAGTGGAATAAAAACACATTTGTGACCATAATCTGTCCTGCCTTTTGTTTTAGAGGTTCCAGGACCTGAACGTCATCAGTAGTCTGCTAAAATCATTTTTCAGGAAACTTCCAGAGCCACTGTTTACGGATGGTAGGTGCAGAACTAACTATATGCAAATGCAGACACACATGAATGCTTCAATATTTTATCATTGTTTTTGTGCATAGATAAGTACAGTTCCTTCATTGAAGCCAATCGGATAGAAGACACAGACAGCAGACTCAAAACTATGAAGAAACTGGTCAGTGTAATGTACAACCCTAACCCCCAATCCTTATTTTATTTTTTCTCTCTGTTTATTTATTTGATTTAAACCAAATACTTTTTGTTGTAGATCCACAGTCTCCCAGATCACTACTTTCACACGCTCAAGTTCTTGGTGGAACACCTCAGAAGAGTGGCTGATTACTCAGAAAAGAATAAGGTACAGGTTCAAAGGCCACTCACTAGTTGGGGAGTGGATAACCTGTGTGAATAGTTTACAAGTATCTGCTTGAGATCATGTTAAGGGTGTGAAGGCAATAAAGGCAAAAAGGCACAAAAATACACTTTATAATTGCACTTTATATTACATGTCTTAAACACTAAGTGGAATAGATTCTGTGTGATTCTGTTCAAGAGTCCAAAACTCATGTTTTGTGTGACAATTTTTCAGATGGAGCCCCGGAACCTGGCCCTGGTGTTTGGACCCACTCTGGTCAGAACATCTGAGGACAACATGATGGACATGGTGACGCACATGCCTGACCGCTACAAGATCATAGAGACTCTGATCCTGCATGTAAGAAACTGTCTCTGTGCAAAAACACTAAATCTTGCTACACATTTACTCTAGAGACATGCTAAATCCAAAAGCAGCATTGAATATCTTTTTGATTTTGATCGGAGTTCATAATAACAGATGTTGACACTTTGATGAGGTTAAAACAGATCCAGCCTGTTAAAATGTTGTTTGTGTTTCAGTGTGACTGGTTCTTCTCAGACGGACCTCTGGACAAAGAAGACAAGGTAAATGTGGCAAGTCCAGACCTTTATTTCTCTTTGGGTTCATGACATCTCACACTTCTTTTGTTTGTGAAGGCCCCTGATCATGAGAGCGACTCTTCTCCAGTGCCCAACATCGACCACCTACTGTGTAACATCGGCCGCACAGGGGGGCCCGGAGACTGCCCAGGTGAGAGTCTGCCCTACACACCCTCTGCTCTGTGACCAGCACAGACACAGAGCCACAGTCAGCTCTTTTACAATAGGCTGTGTTCAGAGGAATGATATAGTTGTGTATCTTTAATGGTTTGTGTCCTTTTCTGTGCGCTGCAGCTGAAAAAGTGGAGGCACCACTGCGGTAGGACCTCTGTGTTTGTGACTCTGTGCCCCCACCTGATTGTTTTTACATTGTCGTCCTGTCCTGAAGTCAATTGTGAATTTTGACCATTTTATCCAATGGGTGTAATATTATTGATAGACATGGAAAGCCTTGATTGCAGATTACCTTTTAAGTCAGTTATGTCATCTTTAGTTTGAACATTTGTTCTTGTATTTTAATTTTGGAGGGAAAATGAAAGGTGATAAATGAGTAGTGGAGAATGAACAATACAATTTCAGTATATTTTGGAGGTTTAGATCTCGAATCACTGACACCACTTCTTCCTGATTGGAGGGACATTTTGAGGCCCTCTTTTTATTTAAAATATGTATTTTGCATTAGTGTCTATCAATAGTTTACCATAACAACCTGTGCTGTGAGTGATACTGGCATTGAATAGTCTCTTGAATCTAATATGTTTGTATCTTTCTTCTAGATTCCACCATCGATTCACTTAAACTAAAGGTAATCTAAACTTTGCTGCAACTCAGCAGAACATATAGAAAAGTTGTGTAATACAAACACATGTTTTACAGATTTCTTTGAGCCCTAAGAAGGACCCAAATGCCAAGGAATTAATCTCCTCTGTAACCCGCAAACGCAAGATATCACCTGACCGTCTTCCAGGAACCAGCTCAGAGGAAAACCTGGAGCATGAGCCAGTCAAATCCAGCAACTTGAGGAGACAGAATGCAGAAGACAGAGACAGCATTGAATCAGAGAGTGAGGTCCCAAAGGAGGGTCAGACCTTACAGGAGGGTCAAACCTTACAGGAGGGTCAAACCTTACAGGAGGGTCAAACCTTACAGGAGGGTCAAACCTTGCAGGAGGGCACGGATTTGGAGAAGGTTTCCAGCAAAGAAGAGGTGGAAAGAGAAGTCAAAGTAAAGTTTGAAATGCCTGACAGACCACAGCTGGAGGCACTGACAATGCCCAGGCCGCTGAGGCAGAGTGTGGGTATGAGAAGGGGGCGCAGGCTTCTGCGTCCTCACAGTTTCCATCTCCTCCAGCCTCCACCTGAGGCTCTTGTCCCACTGCACACATACACTTCCAGATCAGGGAGCCCAGCCTGGGTATCTCTCTCCAGGCTCCCTCCTGCTCACACCTCTAGTTTCTATGGGACCCAGTCGGGCAACTGGACTCCAGCAGTTCCACTGCGTTGTAAGAAAAGCTTCACTGCTCGAACCAGGGCTTTGTCCATGACCCTTGAACTAGAGGACAGAGCCAGAGGTTGGAGAACAGACAAGGTGGAGGTCATACGGGTCAATGAGAGTGGAGTTCCACAGGGATCTGCTATAGCAACAGTGTCTTATCAGCAGGGCCCTCCAGTCTCCTGGGTGGTTGTTGGGACTTGTCCCTGGTCAGAACCCAGCCTCTCGAGGTCCTCAGTGGTTCTTAGAAGACTAACAAAACCACAGGTGCAGAACCGGGGATGGCGGCGCCACACAGTGGTGGTATGAAATGTTGCAACGCAACACACCAAGATTTTAATCCAAGTTTAAACTACAACAGCCAATTTTAACTTTAAAATGATCTATTTTACATATTCCAGTCAGTGACCAGGTTAGCCACAGAACACAGTCATACACCAACCTGTGTACTCTTGTATAGTGGCAAACACTAAAGTAGAGAAGAGCCCCTCCACTCTGGTCAGTGTGGGGGCCCAGAAGAGTCCAGGTCTGGGAGCTTCTAATATACTGTTCATAGAGGGTGATGGGATGAGAGGAAGATGGTTAGTGGAAGCATGTTGTCAAGATCCTCTGATCCTCTGTTGACCTGTGAGTTTGTAACATTTGACTAGTTATATGCTCACATAGGCCAATTACAGCATTACATTTAAGTGACTCTTAAATTAAGGAAACATTGTAAAAGATGTTTTACATGACTATGCATAATTGTTTTGGCTTCTCAGAGTAACAGATTCAGTATCTTTAGTTGACCTACTTTTCCAACATCTTTCCAAAATGTCTGTCAATACTTCAAGCTATGACCATGGCCAAGACTAACTAAATCTATGCAGGCTGTCAGGCTCATCAGTGTGTCGCTGCCCACAGTAGCTTTCTCCTCTGCCTTGGACGTAACCCTCAAATCATCCCAATGGAGTTAACCTAAAGCCTTCTGCCCAAAGGTTGTGGCAAGTAACCGTGATGTACTAAATATCTGGGACAGTAAGGACACGAGGCAGCTATGTGAAGTCATGCCAAATCAGTTTTCTATCCTTTGTACAATCACTGTGCATTGCCAATGCAAGCCCCAGTGACCAGTGCTCCTTCCATGTGTTGAACTGTCTGAATATTGTGCCCTGTGCGTGGGCATGTTTTGTAACCCTTGTACAAAGCCTTGAGAAATTAACCTATTGTACTATGTAAATGTTATACATGTATATAAATATTAAATTATTATCTTTGTCTTTTTCAAATTATTTTTGTTGTGATTGATCTTTTAAGTTTGTCAAGTCACCAAATGCCCATCACACAAGGAAAATCTGAATATATTTGCAAAAATATAACAATAACACTCAGCTTAACTTAATTTTTAATCAGCAGTGTCGTATATTTCAAAATCACCCACACTATAGCCTTACACCAGGGCACTGTATTGAAATGTCATGAGTACTCTTAGCATGAGCTGTGCCCATTAACACAAATCATATAGATAGAGATATTTACAGAACTGCCAGCCATAGTCAGCTTATTGCGATGATCCTTTTTTAAACTTCAAAAGTCAGTGGTATAAATGTCCAAAAGCTACTATTCTCTTCAATCATTAATTTCCTATGTTGGTGAACAAACTCAGACTGTTTAAATGGACCAGTTCTTTCAGATTCATGACAATATAATTGTTTCATGAAGAGATTCCTCTTCGGTGATTTCCTTTTCTGAGCAGGGACAGGAGTCCCTGAGCGACAAAGGGCCACACCAGGAAAACCAGTAGCGTTGGGAAGGACACATCGAAAGGCCACCATTTCTCCTAATAAAAACAAACCATAAATCAAACCAGAGGAGCAAAGCAGATCAGAGAATCAACATTAATATACAATTTTCAAATAGTATAGTAAAAAGTCCCTCTTACCTCACATGTACAACCTGGACAGTGCCAACATGGAGGCTCTTCTGAACTCAGTGCCTGAAACAACAAAGTTAAGTCATTATCTCCATAAACAACAATATCACAGTCAAGCAAAAGTATACAATTCTCACATTTGATGCTGCCAGCCGCTCCAGCATCTCTAGACGCTGCCCCACGCTCCTCATATCTTCTCGGAGCCTGTGCAGGGCCAGTACGATCTGCTGCTGGAGTTGAGCCTCATGGACGCCCAAGGACCCTCTTTGGTCCCCTCCATCACCCCCTCCACCCCCTCTGCCTGCTCCACCCGCGCCCCTGTTTCCATCGACACCTGGACGCCTCATACCACCCTCTGCCAGTCCACCTGCAAACACCACAGATAGTTAGTTACATTTACAAAACACATACTGTAGCTACTAACTACACCCTCACTGCTGATGTGTTTTATACATTACTGTCTTCACAGTTAGTTTCCTAGAAAGAGATGATATTTTGTTACTTTTCAACCTTTGCAATGTGCCATTTGCGCTCATTCATAAATCATGATTTCAACTTGATTGCAATTGTTGTAGTCCTATCTGCTGATATGTTTTTATTTAACAATTAACTCCAGATTTGTGAGAATTGTTTGTGTGAAAATAATTGACAGGAGACCTGGCCCATTTCCCCTGAGCACACACTGTGACACCAAAAGCTTGCCTCTGAACCACCCAAGTTTGCTTCAGTAAAATCAATCTGCAGCTTACGTTGCCTCCAGTGAGAAGCGTCTCGTCCACTGTCCCGGCTCCTCATTGGTCCCCTTTTGTCGTGGGCGCCCTCTCCTCCCTGACCGGCCCCTGCCTGTCGACCGTCTGTTCTCTTCTCCACTGAGCTTTGTGGGTGGCTCTCACAGAAGCCATTTAAGACCTGTTAAAGTAGGGACATTTAGTTATACGCACAAGGTTGATCAATACACTAAAAATTAAACGAACTATTGCAATTGCAGTTTTGGTAACATGCAAAATTACATTATTGGGTATATTGTCAGCTAATTAAAGCAAAACAAAAATAAGTGTGTAAAGCTGTCCTATTGCCAATCCCACATTTCTTACCTTTGTGTTCAGCTGCTCCACTGAGTCCACTGAGTCACAGAAAATCTCATTCTCAGAGTCACTCGTCAGGACCAGGGGCTCGGACAGACCCGAGTCTGCACCATACAAGAACACTGGTAAGAGTGGTCCTTCTAATGACAGCAATGATGAAGATTTGACACAAAATAAGATACAGTAGTTGTAACTAACTGGGGTACTCATATTTGAGTACACATTAAAAAAATAAATAAAAGCAGCACTGCTAACTGCCAGCATCTAATAATAAAGTATTTTATCTTTAACTTTTACTTCGTCATATGAAAAAAGCTATTCTAAACCCTTGTATGTACCCAAAAATTAATGCATGTGAATATTAACAATGTCCCAAAGGCTTTGTGAGAAAGTGCTCATCAAATGTATTATTCCCTAGACAACCGTTCATAAAACTAGACCTCGCTCATGGGATTCAGGACCCTTAGAAGATGAGCTGGCAAACCTTACCATGGCACACACTGTCAATAAGAGGCACAGTTTCAGACTCGTCTTTGGTTCTGTCTTTTTTTTCCATCAGATCTGAAGCAAAACAAATCCATAAAAGGTCATATTCGATCGATATTGTACTTTTTTGCGTATGCTGTATGAACGGTATTTAAACTGAAGTTATGTAATAAAGTTGTGACCTTCTCGTAACACAAGCAGAGACTCTGGGGGCCTGGGCATGTCATGGATCACGTGGTAGAGAGGCTCAAAGTGGTGGAAAAGAGAAGCTGTCTTCTCATCCATGGGCATTGTGTCAATGACCTGAGCCAAAAGATGCACAGTTAACACTCCTCTCCTGGTTACTGCACTTTTAAATTTAAATATTTATTTATTTTTTTACAATATATAACAGCCTTCCCTGCTGTTTACTGCACTTTTAATACATTTGTATCATGACAAATACCTCCTGAGCCACGTTTTTCATCTCGTCCACATAAGCCGCCATGGCACTTTCTCTCTTCATCTCACCCAGTTTGTTCCATGCGTCCCTGCACAAACATAACGAAGAGGACCTCGTTAGCTGGTTGAACAATTGAGCCTGTGATATTAGGAAAGGGGGTCTTGGCATACCATTTGTATCGCCCAACAGGGTCCCAGAAGCCCGGGCGAGGTACTTTACATGGTCCACACACAGCCTGCTTGTACAGACTGTAGAAACGCAGCATTACCTCATATGATGGCCGGTAGCTACCTGAACAAAACCAACCGTATTGGTCTTAGCAGTTCACTCACATATTGCATATTTAAGTTCACATGCAGAATGTATACGTTTTTAGAGTGTCTAATTTTGGAGATCAACTATTGATGAATCCGATGTTACATAAGGACACACTGAGTACGCTGAGTCTAAGGACAGGACTGGGCAAATACCATTTTTAGGGAGGTTGTGGATGACATCCACGGCAGCCTGGAAGCGCCGCTCGTGGTCGAGTGCAGGCTCTGACATCGTTGGCACAGGCATGACACAGGGGAGGCCTGAATAGAGCAGCTCATCAGGCCCTAAGAGAAACAAAGAAAACAAAGAAGATTAAATTATACAATTATATGTGTGGCCTAGTGATCAGTCAATTGTGATTGTGTGAATACAAGCATCAAACATACTGTCCATGAAACATTAAGTGACAGAGACATGTAATAAGCATAAAAAAATATTTCTAATCAAACACATAACAATAAAATGACTGTAAAAGGATTTAGAGAGGAAATATCATAGGCAAATGAGTTGCCCTTCATCAGCTGCTCCGGAATGCAGTAATCCGACTAAAGTCCACAACTTTCAGTAATCAGCCTGACAGACACTTTCTTTAAAAAGTAGGGAGGTAAAAAGTGACTACACAATGCACAACTGCGCATAACTACAATCTATTTGATTTGTCCCGGTGTTTAGCATATGGTTTTAGCTTGTGTGAGCAATAACCTTCTCTCACCTCACTGGCTGCAGGTTTTGTTTCCACTCATTGCTGATCAACCCCACTGTTCACAGCTCTATTTAATTATAATCAATACACTATTAGATAAACGGGGCCTAATGTACACTTTGAGAAACAGTTTGAACTTCAGCTGATCTTTTCTGTTTAGGCGTCTATGGTCAACACTTCCGTGTCTGTCACGTCACGTGACCGCCACATGACCCCAAACTCTTAATACCAAGTTATAACTGTGTAATAGAAAAAATATATAATACAGTCTATGCTTATAACAAAGGCTAATTAACTATTTATTATTATTTATTTATTTATTTATTATCTATTTATTGCGACCATATGACGCATCTGTAGGTTTCATAGCAATTGCAAAGACAGCTGCAGGATTATTTTTATGAATGAACAACAACCTGCTTGTGCTTGTGCCGGTAAATGCATACAAAGTGGCTGAAAAGATTAGTCTAATAATGGTTTGAGAAGACGAGACTGACCATGCACCATGGATGCGCCTCGGTTAATCCGTTTTGCATTTTGTACATGTAAGAAAACAGGAAATGCTTCAGAATAAAATACTAATATAAAAGGTGGTTTATGGCCTGTCCAGGAGCCATGGACCTGTCAAATAAATCTCTCTGGCAATCATGCAGCAGCAGATTATTTATTAGGCTGAATACATCTACAGTTGCAGAAAAAATGGCCCAGCAGCAGAGACCGTTAGAGTGTAGTTAAATTAGCCTCTTTAGTTTCACAGAAATATATATTTTAATTAAGGCCAACATTTGATTAAGCTAAGTTACCACTGTATATTTTTCCATCTTTAATAAAAGCGCGTGTTGTGTGTTTTTAAAATAAATAATAAATAAATTAAGTTTTCCTCTCTCTTTCTCTTGGAGTGTATTATTGTGAAAGCCCAGTCCCGGATGCGCTGGGTTGTCGCGGTTTATCTAGTGGCTGTGCGTAAATCTTTGACATCAGCTGTGGGTTTGGCGTCTACAATAAAACCCAGGGCCCCCACACAAGAGTCGGGGTGCCACAGGGACCTCATGCGCTAATCCCGCCCCAGCGCACAGGACCTCGGCGAGCCTGCATGTTTTTCAGCGGCTCACCCTCTTCAAATTTAACACGCAGTCAGGAATAATGCTGGGAAATAAAAAGAAAGCGGCATCAGCCCTTAAAGACGGAACCGGGACGTCCCAGAAGGCCATTGATCCTCTACGAAACCTGGGTGAGTTTTTGCAGAGACGGGGCCCGGGGAGCGGAGGAAAGCTGGGTTTAGTCTATCCTGGTCCCGTTATCTTCCCCGCCCCCTCGCTCCACTTTGCCTCCGATAAGGACAGGAGCAAATGACGCCAATTGTTTGAAGTACTCACATTCAGATTGGAAATGCATTCCCGTCTATTGTGAGTGAGTGGTCCTTAATGTTATAGAAGATTAAGAATAAGATCATGGCGCAACCATTCTGTAGAAATCTGGTGTGAATGGTTAGAATAAATATTTATTCTTCCATTTATTTCTGTGGCTACAGCTGGGCTACAACTGCTGAAAAAGTATTAGGCTATAAATAAGCTTTCTCTGCCATTCTTATTTACTTTCATTAGTTTTAATTATTTGTTTAATTTATTCTTAAAATATGAATGACATCAAGTGTCAAAAATGAATGAAAAGGTGTCAGAAAGAAGTGCATTCTTATGTTTTCTACCCCTTATGTTTCCAGAGAATACCTTAACCCTGATCACAATAACATACATTCTTTATGCTTTCTACAATTTAGGATTTTTTTTGCAAACAGTTTACTGGGTTTTGGAACAGCATGAACCAAAACAATAAAAATCATGTTGTGATTGGAGTTTTTTATTTACTAAAGTTATTTTATATGCCAAACTTAAACTGCAGCGTCCTACTTACATGGGTTTTCTTGATGAAAGCGTTTAGTTTGACCTAATGAGATGGTTCTTTGTGGTCTCTCAGAACTGCCTGTTCTGTTTTAGTCTCTAAACCTTGTCATCAACGGCAGCAGAACCCCACCCCTCTCTTCCCTCTCAAAATATGAAGTAGAGCAGGAGCGGACTCTGCTTGGGACCGCCCTGCCCCCCTTCACCCATGCCTTATGTAGAGTTGTACCTTATCAGAAAAAGATGCAATATTTTCTTATTGCGATAACAGTTTTATTAAATTTTCATATACTTTACTGTACAATAATTTTAATCACAAAAACCAACAAAACAAAAAATGAATAAAATCTTCCTTTTGTTCTTCCAAAAAGGTACATTTCTGTAAACCGTTTGGTAAAACTTTTCTGTGAAACACTGTTGCAATATGTTTATTTTCTTATTGGTTATTGCGATATCAATATTTGAACACATTGTGCAGTTTTACTCTTGTGTGTGTCTCCATACAGGAGTCCAGGACGATGAAGACGTGAAGCACATGCTCCAGGGCTCGAGTCTGGTCAAGGTTACTGATATTAAGATGATACAAATTTATGAAGACTGCATCATTCACACACACAGTCACATTTTAGGAACCTGCTGCTAATACGAAAACATGGCATCATATACCAACCCTGCTTGAAATATTTGGCACATACATGTTGTTTTCCACACTCACAACTAGCCGAATTAAATAATTTATACAATTTTCTGTTTTTAACCAACCCATGATTGATTATCAACACAAATTTACAATGAGTAGAGTAAATGTGATCAGAAATAGAATAAGCGGATAACTCAAAAATTACATTTTATTATTGGTTTGTATTTACAAGAATGAAAGAAATCAGATAATGCAAAACACATGTCAGTCGAAGAGTGGTGTAACTGGAAGTGCAATTAATTTTTTTTAAAGAACTCTTTCAGTCTTTAACATGTTATCTTCCCTTTTTTTTTTTTGCCACATTCGTTTTTTTTTTGGCGTAAATTTGTCAGACCCTTGATAAAAAGAAATCCGAATACTCATATCAGATGTCATTTATTCACATTACCTTTCAATAAACTGAATCACAATCTGAAATCAGATAATGATCAGATTTTTGTGTGCATGTAACCATAGCAAGTGTTTTGAATTCTTGTGAAGAGCATGTTAAAATGTACAGTATATGTCCAGGTGCGATCACCTCGGTGGCAGAAGCACAGGAGTGTCCGACTGCTGGAGGATGGGGTCACAGTTTGGTGCCAGTCTCATAAAACCTCCAGTCGAGCCAAAGAGCAGCAGTCATGTGAGTAATAATTTGTTATATTATATTTGTTAATGTGTGAAGAATCCCTCAAAATTCAGACAAAAGTTTTGTCCAGTCGACAAACTGAATTTTCTCCTCGCCAGGGACTCTACCTGGATGACTGAGGGATTCTTCACATATATTTGGTAATGTTATATTGTGCTTTTCAGGACACTCAAATGTGCTATCCAACAGACTGTGTGAGGTCCCAGCCACAAAACTTTCTACAAAATTAGAATCGATCTGTTTTTAGAATACAGTTTGTGGGTGTGGGTGTGTAAAGAAAAGCCACTACTTAGAGTTAGTGCAGAGTCTGCCTGCGTTCACACTTGATTACAGAGGCAGAGTGGCTATTTCCAGCCTAAATCCTGAATGATGCTTTGGTTTGAATGGTTAGATTATAGGAGATGCTGCAGGGAGTGGTCTGTGATTGTGGCAGATGTAATGAGCAGATGTTACTGTGATGTGGCTCATGTACCAGCCCTGGAGTCTTGTTCTCTTCACTTTCTGCAGGTTAACGGACTACATCTTACATACACACAACTGGACATAAAGGAACAATTTAAAAATATCAAAATAAGAATCGTTAATAACAAAGATACTCTACCTAATCTCCAAAATGTAATGCTCCTGCCATGTCAAACACTCTAAAGTAGCAGTTATATTTTGGCTACTTCATCTTTGTAGCTTGTCTACAAGCGCTCGAAATGAGTTTCCTCCGCAGGGTGGCTGGGCGCTCACTAAGAGATAGGGTGAGGAGCTCAGTCACACGGAGTAGAGCCGCTGCTCCTCCATGTCGAGAGGAGCCAGTTGAGGTGGCTCAGGCATCTGTTCCGGATGCCTCCTGGACGTCTCCCTCAGGAGGTGTTCCGGGCATGTCTCACTGGGAGGAGGCCCCGGGGAAGACCCAGGACATGCTGGAGGGACTATGTCTCTCGGCTGGGCTGGGAACACCTCGGGGTTCCCCCGGAGGAGCTGGAGGACGTGTCTGGGGTGAGGGAAGTCTGGGAGTCCCTGCTTAGGCTGCTGCCCCTGCGACCTGGCCCCGGATAAGCGGACGAAAATGGATGGATGGATGGATGGCATCTTTGTAGCTTGTCTATTTCACAGCATCATTATTTAGTTTGGAATGATCGTGTATTGTTGTTTAGGTAGTTGTATTTAAAGTCTCATAGTGCACTTTGAACTTCTTGCAATGTTTTTCTAATGTGTTTTTTAACTACAGATGGCAAATAAACTAACCTACACTTAATCATTAAGCCACTGATTTTAATTTGCAGAACAACAGAAAACAATGGGCGTTCTACACGCAGAAATGCTCAAAATTATTAATAAATAAAAGGAAGAAAACAACAACATAAACAGTTACAGTTAAATATATATTGACATATTATCAGTTATTAAACCTGAAGTAAAACTAAAGTACTCATAAATTGTATTGTAAGAGCAGAACTTTGTGACAAAAATCAGACCTCTATATTTGATTTGATTAGAAATATTTGTCTATCGCAAACTTGTAAGAAAAAGCCATGTGTTTCACAATCTTCTTTTCTGTCTGAACAAGCTGTTCTAAAGATATGCTGGTGGTCAGAAAATGCATGTATAAACTGGCAATGTGCCAAAGCTAGGAATTAGTCAGATAGGTTTAAATACATACTTTTTCATTTTATGGTTTGAAAATCTGGTACCTCAGCTTTTTATGTTGATGTCATTCACCCTAATGTCATGAGCACTAACAATGACATATTGATAGGCTGTTTATAGTTTTTCTTTCTTTTGTATCTTCAGTCTCTGTCCTGGATGTGGAGTGTGTGCGTGAAGGCTGTCAGTCTGAGGTGCTGCGTCGCATGGTTGGCTCTGTCCCTGAAAACCAGTGCCTTACAGTGGTTTTCAAAGGACCACGCAAAAGTCTGGATCTACTGTGTGCCAGTGCCGAGGAGGCCCGGCGCTGGGCTCGGGGCATCCGTACTCTCCAAGAACGAGTGGAAAACATGACACAGAAGGAGAAACTTGACCAATATCTTTTTCAACTCACCATGTGATAATATAGATAATATAAGATCACAAACGGGCAGATATTATGAATGTTTAACTATTTGAGATCTATGTATTATTCAGTTTTATATAATTTCATATTTATAGTGGCCTGGAATAGATATATTCCCTTAATGCCGTTTTTCACCTGGATCCATGCTTACTTGAACCGAGCTGACCAGAACCATGATGATAAGATGAGCTACGACGAAGTGCAAAACCTACTGCAGATGATCAACATCGACCTCAACGAACAGTACGCACGCAGCCTCTTTCAGGTGCTCACTCACACTCTGTAGGGTCATTTCAAGTGTTCCTTGTACTGCACTCTCTGTAATGTTTGTTTACTGTTTGTGTTCCATAGAAGTGTGACCGCTCAGCTGACGGACGCTTGGACCACGGGGAAATTGAAATCTTCTGCAGGGAGCTGCTCCGGAGACCAGAGCTGGACGCGGTCTTCATTCAGTATTCTGCAAATGACTGTGTGCTCTCCACTGTGGACCTGAGAGACTTCCTCAGGGACCAGGAGGAGGACGCCTCTGTGACTCACGCTCAGAGCCTCATTCTCACCTATGAGCTCAACCCCTGGGGTAGGGCCATTTATATATACAATCCATGGGCCCAAGAGAATATGTACAACAGGCAATTTAAACTCATGATGGTAGAAAAAATATAATAGACTAGATTTGTAAAGTACTCTCACTGACTTAAGTAAATGAATCCTCATTCATTATATCATGTGTTGTGTATGATGTGTTTTGCAATGTGAAGCAAGACATTTCCAGCACATGACCTTTGTTGTACCTAGATTGTTGTCATTTGAACACAGTTGACTTCATTAATTTCAGGAAGAGGTCATTTACAGAAGTAGATATAACAAACATGAAACATGCATTTTGCTGTGACAGCTCAGAAGAACCACTTCATGACCCCTAATGGCTTCACCATGTACATGCTGTCCAAAGAGAACTGTGTGTTTGACCCCGCCCATGCTCGGGTTTACCAGGACATGAACCACCCTCTGTCTCACTACTTCATCTCCTCCTCACACAACACCTACCTCACCAAGGACCAGCTGACTGGGGACAGCAGCACAGAGCCTTATATTCGGTCAGTTACAGATATTTGGACCAGCACTTTCATATCCCTTTTTATATCATAAATCAGTAAATCATGTATGTTTCACAGAGCTTTGAACCAAGGCTGTCGTTGTGTGGAGCTGGACTGTTGGGATGGAGAGAAGGGAGAGCCAGTCATCTACCACGGACACACACTGACTTCCAAAGTGCCCTTTGATGAAGTTATTGAAACTATCAATGAGTATGCCTTCAAAGTGAGTGGACCACATCAAGAAAAAATTTCACTTCACAAGTGCGTGTAAAAGAACCTTTATATGTCACACAGGCTTCGCCTTATCCCCTGATTCTGTCACTGGAGAACCACTGCAGTGTGGATCAGCAGACTGTGATGGCCCGACACCTGCGCACCATCCTGGGAGACAAACTGCTCACCAAGCCCCTCAAGGGCTGGGACATCCGCTACCTGCCTTCTCCTGAGGTAACTCTGTCCATGCAGATACTCCTCACTGGTGTAATATTTATAATCATCTAAATGCTGATTGCAGAAATGTTACTGACTATTTACATGTTTTCACTTGTAATACTCACAGTTGATGCTTTTGCTTTACAGGATCTTAAAGGGAAAATTTTGATAAAAGGGAAAAGGGAGGGCTCAGGTGAGGACCACTACAGTGCCTCGGACTTCAGCTCCTCAGATGAAGAGAGTCAAAGGGATGCCAGGTCTAAAACACAGAGAGCAGAGCAGAAGGTAAAAGCCTGTTTGGGGCCCTGGGGTATGACCAAGGGTGACCTTTATATCACATCACATATATTCACATACACAACTAATGTATTTGTGTGTGATCTCAGGCAGGAGCCTCCAAACTGAGCCCTGAGCTGTCAGAGTTGGTGTTGTACACGCGCAGTGTTCCTTTTAAAGGGTTTCAACAGGCTCCAGCTCCAGAGAGCCACATATCCTCATTCTCTGAGAGTGAGGCATTAAGACTCATCAAAGAAGCAGGTCTGACATTTGAATCTTATTTAAAGGTGCATTGTGTAACCTTTCCAATAGAGGGTACGCCTACCTGTTTTTCCTCATGTCAATGTTATTGCTTTGCCTAAAATGTTTCACAATATGGCATTAACATATTCTCATTACCATGGAAACAAATACGTGGCACTACAGGTCAGGGGATTTTTGATTAATTAAAACACCAGAAATGAAGTAAACACTAGATAGAAAAGTTTATTGCCATTGTGTGGAACATTTTAGGCATGGAGACAAGCAGTTGGTATATCACTTCACCTGAAAAGTTACTCTGTCCCCCTTTAAAGTATATTCATCATATATATTTGACATATCAACTCATAACAAAACTTATCTTTCACAGGGATGCACTTTGTCCGCCACAACAGTCACCAGCTCAGCAGAATCTACCCCTCAGGCCAGCGCCTCCAGTCATCCAACTACAACCCCCAGGACATGTGGAATGGAGGCTGTCATATGGGTGAGCAAAATATATACTATGAAAACACCTATATATATATATATATATATATATATATATATATATATATATATATATATATATATATATATATATACACAGACCTGTCATGGTTTGAAGTGTGATATATTGCTAAAAATATGTTAATAATAACATTGAGGACCATTTTATGTCTATGACACAATAACATAAATCTAAATCTAAAGTATGATAATACCAGTTAACCCTTTTAAAATGAACCACATTGTAAATTAATCATGATCTATAATGAATATATAGCGCTATGAAGTGCTTTAGTTGTTAGTTAACATCTGTAAGTAATGAATAGGGTAATGATGTGACCCTGTATAGCTCATAACATATTGCAGAGAAAGTTATGCACTAATGAAAATAAAGTCCAAAATAGCATTGTTTTTCTTTCATTTAATATAACATCACAGTGATAAGCCTAGGTACACATCTTGGTGTATGAAACGATTGTGTGTATTTTGTAGTGGCTCTAAACTTCCAGACTCCAGGTGAGCAGATGGACTTGAACCGGGGCAGGTTTCTCCAAAATGGTCAGTGTGGATATGTCCTGAAGCCCCCCTTCATGTGCTGCCCTGACACGACCTTTAACCCTGAAAATGTTGGGGGAGGTCCGGGCCACAAACCTTTCCTTCTCACCATCCGGGTAAGATCTCCTGTGTATCATCAACAGGATGTATAATAACTGAATTTATTAAACTTTGATTGATCTACATAGAAATTACTTACACGAATTAGCTCAATAATCCTCGTTTTTACAAGTTACTGTCTGCAAGTGTATTAGATTTTTTTCTACCGGTCAATGGCCGATGTGAAACCTGTTCCCCCTCCCCTCAGGTCTTCTTCTGTCAGGTCAAACCTGCCACACTATCAGACAACAGTTATTTACATTGCATATGGTGATATGTGAAAATACAACGGGAGACAGGTTGGCCAACATATTTACAGACTGTAGCGTTAAAAACCCTTTATAATAACCTTAATAAAACATGAACAACTTATTTAATAATGTACACATTGTTTATTATGAATGATTCAGGGTTAGTAACTACTTAATTAAGGGGTTAGAAGGGGCTAGAAGAAGAAGAATTTGTGTATTAATGAAGTATTGACTAACCCTGAATAATTCTTAATAAAAATAAAATAATGTTATTTAGAAAAAAAGACAAATAAGAGTAAATATGCAGAAATACAGGCTGGTACACTTATTATTTGTGTGTGTGTTTTTTACTCCAGATTATTTCAGCTCAGCAACTGCCTAAACCAGAATGGGATAAGCCTACATCTATAGTGGACCCGCAGGTGTGGGTTGAAATACACGGTGTTCCAATAGACAACAATAAGAAAAAGACTCATTATGTGGAGAATAACGGTATGTACTGATAAAGTCCATTTTGATTAATTTTAGGTCTTGCATTTACTTACACAAATGCAGTAATTTCTTCTGGCAATACAATTACTTTAGAATGCATGATTGAAAGATAAACCCAAACCAACAAATCTGAAATGTGCAATTTGTCATTAATAACAACAGATGATGTGAAATAAGTATTTTAGTTTAGTGATTTAGTTTGAACTCAGTTATTCCATGTACATATCTGTTATGAAGGTACTATAATAAGTAGTTAAATGTGGAAGTGTAATGAAAAATACATCTTGTTTTCAATCATACACTAATATGCAGTTGTTATGGGTACGTTGTAATCAGTTATTTTTTTCCAAACATTCCTCCAGGTTTTAATCCTCGGTGGGACTGTACCTTTAACTTCACGGTTCACGCTCCAGACTTGGCCTTGGTTCGGTTCATGGTGGAGGACCATGATTACACATCAGCCAATGACTTCTTAGGACAGTTCACTCTGCCCTTCATGAGTACGCACAGGTTTGTGTCAAAACTCCAAATGGGAAGATTAACACTGGACAAACTACATTACTAAATTGTCTTAAATGCTGAATTACAATGTTTTGATTATTTTGTCTAGTTAGGATTTATTTAGACTGCATACATACATGCCTTTGTTTGGGCCTAAAGACAAAAAAGGTTGTCTTCTACTTTGACATGCTTTGGTGAGCATCTGCCCTCTTCCTCAAAGCATCATCTGACTGCTGTGACGTGTCACTTATCAGCTGATCTTCCTGGATTTGGCTCAAGCTTATCTATGATATATAGACCTGGTTTTGTCTTCATCTAGTCTTCTTCTTAGTCCTTGTCTAGTCTGGGTTTAATTACAGGTTTAGTCCCAGTTCCCGGTAGTGTTTTAACTAACTTCTTGGGTTCTTTTTAAAGACAATGCAGTAAAGTGTGTTTACCTTGTTGACATGTTTCGGCTGCTAGCTGCAAGCCATCTTCAGAACTGTCACCGGTGTTGGTGATGACGTGTCGTATATCAGCTGTTGTTACTTCCTGTAGGCGTGGTCAGCCTGATGGACCTGGCAGGTCGCTCAGACTGACCACGCCTCCCGTCACCCGGTGTTCTCTGGAGCAGCCGAAACATGTCAACAAGGTAAACACACTTTACTGCATTGTCTTTAAAAAGAACCCAAGAAGTTAAAGTATATAAGAAGACAAAATGAACATCTTTTGCTTAGTGTTTTAACTACTTGGTGTGGATCTTTGGAATAGTTTCAAGGTATTTTAGACTAGTTTCATTATTTCAAGAAAAAAATGTCAGTAGGATATAAGAAAAAAAAAGAATGAATCAACAAAATAATAAAAAAAAAAAAAATACCTGGACAGATATTTTTTCTTGAAACAAAACTGAGATATAACCGAAAAACAAATTTAAAAAAATTCTCAAGATCTACAAATGAATTCATTTGAAACACTTCAATCTTTATACACATACTAAATACAAAAGATTTAAAGACATGCAAATATTGAGTTTTTACAGTGAGTAAGAAACAACAAAGCTGACCATGTTTTTGATTTTCACCAGGTTACCGACATGTGCGCCTGCTGAAGTCAGATGGCTCTAGTCTGTCCCCTGCCTCTCTCTTCATTCACGCTAAAATCTCCCCGTGCAACAGCAGCACCAGGAGTCCCTGCAGGTCTCCATCCAAGAGCTTAGCTGCTAAACACTAAAAAACAAAAGGATTTTTAACAGACTCTGTGAGGGGCGTGAGGCACTCTGAGTACCTGTCCTGAACAGTCAGCCAAGAATACACGCTTCTCCAAAACTTAAGAGTACGTGCAGCCTGGGCATCGATTTTACGATTACACATGACTGATGGATTAACCAGTCAAAGACATGCATTGCCCACCTGTATCAAAACAAACAAATCCTTTGAAAACAAAATAAGGAAGGACTGAAAAACAATATGCATTTCTGCAGAGTCCACAAGTGAAGCACTAAATACTGTTAATCTAAGGTGAGAGAAGTTTTATTTTGTTATAACTGGCAGATAATAAATAAGATCCTCCGTTCTCTCTGCATCAATGAAATAAACAAACCTGATTGGATGCTTCATTTGAGTTTGGCCTGAGACGCAGAGGAGGAGGTGGTGATCAGACTGAAGATCTTCTGTATAAAATATACAGAGAGTGCAGGTCTGGATCCCAGACTACCTTAAGACTTCACCAAAGAAGATGTCAGTACTCTCTATGCACATTTTACAGTAGTGGCCAATAACACTGATATAATGGAAGTGGCAGGTCTGAAGTGGCTTCAAATTGACCAATTTAAAAAAAACATGGCATGGTGCACTTTTACAGTTTTTCTTTCATTGAATATCAGTTATTCCGAATATCTGCTGAAAAAATATACTTTTTTATTTAATGTATTTATTTTAAAGGGATAAAAAAACTATGAAGCCTAACACTGTCAGGCTATACCAGTGGTTTCCTACTTTGAACTTGAAGATCAGACACACTACACATACTCTAACACAAAAGGTATTACCACACAAACACACAGATAACGCAGTGTTACGAGGAGGTAGTTATTTTAATGTGGCATTTATATTTACTGTATTTTTAAAAAAACTCTGAAGCAAGCTTGTCTCTAACTAACCTTTGAACAAACTCAGTAAATAAAACCACTAACAAAAGAGGCAGCTTTAGTGTGAAGTCAGTGGTTTACAATTTTAATATCCGTCCAACTAAGTTATCAGTTAAATATATTTTCTTTAAGATGGTGCTGCTGGTTTGAAATTAGCTGCTTATTGCATATTTGTGTTATGAAATCCTATTCTCTTTAATGGTCTGCTCTGTCCAGCTGCTGTAGAGATGTTTTTGTATCAGCATAAAGTAGTAATTAGCAATTAGATTTGTAGTGTCATGTAGCACCATAGCATGACAGATGTAGCTTTACTCTTTTAAAAACTCAGCACTTATGCTATATCTATTCAGCAACTAACATTTTTTCTTTTTTTAATCAAAATCATTTTTTAACCAGTACATTTAACTAATATATTCTACCTTAACCTGTCAATTACTAACTTTTCTAATGTTTGTAGTGTGGTTAGTTTTTATATATATTATAAAGAGTCAAATATGATAAATATGATAGCATATAAAGTACAAATAATACAAAAGGAAAATGTCTTGCAATTGAATAATATAAGTTTTATGTTTAAGGTCTTTGTCATTTACTTAGAGGCTAAATGCATTCACAGTTGTCAGATATGGTCAGTATGGTTTATAAAAATATAGAAAATAAACCATCACAGTGCTGTCACATGTGTACTCAAAAAATCAGCTGTATCACATTTTAACACCCAAACTCTCACGAAATTCCTTGATATTCATATGAAATTATCACAAAGTTAATAATAAATAATTAAAATAACATGTTGATAACATTACATTTTTTGCATGGAAAGGTCTTTATCATGTAACTACATACTTTCATATCAAATCAAACATTGATATTTTTCCTGTTGCAAGGCGATACAGCTAATTTTATATTTACACCACTGGCAGCATTACACTGTATGTATAATCACCATATCTTGATTAGTATTATTTATATGTTTTATGTTTTCATCAATGCTAATATTACATCTGATTTGCTGTACGGAGATAAGAGAAAAGAAAGCACTAAGTGGGGAGGGGAAGTTATACAATGTACTTTGGATATTTAAAAGAAGCATCTGTGACAATTATTTAGTTTTATTATGAGCTTTTATAAATATGTTTGAAGACAATCAACAGATATGAAGCTGTCGTCATCAGTTCATGGCAATAATCTTGAGTTTGCACTTGCTTTTTATCTTCAAATAAAGATTATTTTCACTCATATATGAATGTGTGGCTGATTTGTTTTTCTATACTTAAGGCACTTTCGCTGCTGTAATTTTTCTAAATCATACAGATTAGTATTTAGCAAAATACTAGCGCAAGTTCATTTGCCCTAAGAGACAGCGTTATAAATACATAGTCACATGAAGTTTTATTTATTATAAAATATGATTAGAGGTTCTAAATTATGCAAAATTGACTCTTGCGAGCTTTTAGTCTTGTTAGAAAGGTGCTCGTCAGAAACATTCCTGGAGTTGTATTTCATTTCATTCACACGTTTCAGTAATCCTTTATTATTAGTCTGTCTACATCTCCAACACTCAAAAAGCTCTGTTCCACCTTGTGATGTCATGAAGTGATAGTTTTCAAGTTAACAGCTACTTTTTAATTTTTATTCAGCAGAGACTGGCAATTCCAGGCCTGAAATTGTTTAAATGCGAAGGTGTAAGGAGTTTAAAAATACACGTGTGAATGCAACAAAACTAATGAGGAAACAAACATTATAACATATCAGAAAAGTGTAATATGAACCTTTTAACCTTGCGGAGGTCAATAATATAATTGCTGCTTTACAAATGGCACTTCAAATATTCAGTCAGTACATATCGCAGTTTGTGTGTACTTCCACAGAAAGTTTTAGGAAAGTGTTTTGCCCAAAAGGAAGTCCGCATACTCTTTCCTTCGAATAACTCTGTGCATTTTGAACGTATTTGGTGTTGTCTCAGAAAAGGACATCATTTTCTTGGAGAGTTCGTTAAAGGCTCCAGGTGCCACCAGCTGCACTCGCATTGGTCCAATACTGCCTTTGATCCGGAAAGACTTGTACACCGCAGAGTCCTGTTGCAGACATATGTCCAACTAGATTTACGGAGAGAGAAAAATGTGTTTTTAAAAATATACTAATTTATAGAAATATTTAAAGTGAATTGTTTTTTACCTTGTAGCGCTGTTCTTCTGTGAGATTTCTGACTCCTTTGAGCTCCAAAAACACCTGGTAATGAGGGTCTGAGCCACCACTGGAGTCACCTATAAAAATGTACATAATATGGATTAATTATTTATATTTATTATTTTACTTCACTAGCTACTCAAAGTGCTACAGCAGACCATTACCCATTCACTCTCAACTTGTGGTAAGCTGCCAACAATTCATTAATATAAACGCCAGGTGAGAAAAGCCAAGGATACAATGACAGTACATGGTTAGAACTAGAATAAGATGAGCAACCTTAACTACTGAACAAAATGCTAAACAGGTACAATGTGTTTACCCATAATTCCACTCTCAGCACAGCAGTAGTCCACCAGCTGAGCCCCAGGCCACTGAGAGAGCGCGTTCTTTAAAGCTCCAAGGAACAAATGCTCAGACACTTTCTCCCCTCGAACATTCAACATCTGACCGCGCCTAACACAAAGAGAGAGAAGGGAAATATAACTCTTGATTAGTTAAAAACGCATAGTTACAAAACACAGGAAGTAGCCCATATGTCTCATACCTGTACTGAAACTCAATGATAGGGCACTGATTATGGAATCCAACCACCTTCACAATGTCTCCAATGCGGTATCTGTAACAATGTAAAGATAAACCATGTCAATCCTAAGTGTACGTTATTTATATGTAATTCATTTTCAAACAACTAATAAACCTTACTTTTTATTTTGCTCTTGTACAATTCCAGATGTAATTAAAATACAATTCTTCTGTACTTTTTTGAAATTATTTGAAAGACTAGTGCTAAAAATAAAATTCATAAACATATTTAAATATTCTCTAACCATATTCAGAGGAACTGGAAGACAGCCTTGTGGACAATTGAATTTAATACTGAAACTAATACTGAGACGTTACATACTAAAATATGATACATCCTTTTGTTGTGTTTTGTCTTTGTTTAATATGAAAGAAAAGTCGAACAGATATTTTTGTTATTTTTGAAAATATCTTTCACCTGTACAGCCCAGAGGCGTTTGTGATGACCAGCTCGTAGTTGTGGCCCTCCTTCACCTCCTGCATTAACAGAGTGGGTGGGTCGTCCTGCTCCAGACTGTGCTCAGGGAGGAACTCACAGAACATGGAGCGTGGGCACAAGAGGTAACGTCTGCTGGTCTCCTCTGGCCACAGGTTCACCCCAATGAGGCCTGCACAAGAATTCATTCACAAATCAAGAATGGATGTCAACACTTACAGATCTCAAAATAGTGTACTGTTCAAAATGGTCTAGAAATGGTTTAAAAATAGATATGCCATTCAAATTGTTACTTAAAAGGTGCACTGTGTGACCTTTCTGTTTGTTCTGATGGAGACTTTATTGATTTGTCTGTAAAGTTCCACAGTATGGCTTTAAAACCTATTTATCTCCATGGAAACAAGCAGCTCATACCAAATTTAAATCAATGGAGAGCCAACCTTGCTCACAGTAAGAACATATGTTTTGCAAGGTACAATATGTCTTTAGCCATAGAAAAAACACTTCTGTAACTGAATAAATGCAAGATAGCCAAGTTTAAGGCCATATTGTGGAACAATCCAATCACATATCTCCATGGACAAGAGGTTAGCAGTTTGTTTGTTTGTCAGATTCTAGTCGAGAATTTGTTTTATTTACTTAACTTTTCTGGAGGAGGGCCCACCACCTGCCACCTGTCACCATGGAGATTTCATTACTTTGCCTTGAATATTCCAGTGTATGTCATTAAACAAATTATCTGTCCATACAGGCAAGCAGGAGACACCGTTAGGTCAATTTACAAGTCATATCTGTGGAGAAGTGACCTTGCTAACAAAGGTGTTTTTAAAGGTGTGTTTGAGCACTACAAACACCGATGATAGAAGAAACAGATGTTAGATAAATTTAATATCACCCATGAAAACAAAACGAACATCTTCATGATAACAGACCCCCCCACCAGAATCCAATAGAATTAATTGAAGTCATGAGAAACCCAACAGTTTTTTATACCTTCTGTAGCAGCATAAAAAGGTGAGTAGAAGGGCACGCCTTGGCAGTAGCTCTCTCTCAGCATCTCTCCGTAAATTTGATTGGAGCCAGAGTCCACAGCCAGCACCAGGTTAAGGTTTGGCCAAAGTCGTTTTGCAATGCCCCTGAACCCATCCTGGATCTCCGCCTGTATCTGGGATGCCCTCTTTGGGTCCGGCTTCATCAGAGCCTCCAGACTGGACCGTACTTTGGGATCTAGAGCCAAAGCTTTACTGACTGTCCCACGCTCTATGTCCCCCACCAGCTCCTGCCAATGCTCCTACAGGAAAGCCAGGAGGAATTAGTTTGTTAATCCTCAGTTCATCAGGCAAAATAAAGTTAATTTTGGTCACAGCTTGGATTCTGTATTTTTCCAAAATATTAATTTGAAAACTAAATTAAAGACTTAAAGCATTTTTGTACAGCCAAAGTAGATAACATGTGAGGTAGCATAATAACAAAAAGCAATATGTTATCAACAATAGTTTGATCATTATAAACATGTATTAATTCATATTTTTGTGTATTTACAATAGTTATGGTGATAAATATCTTGCATAATTGATACAATATGAATATACAATGTGTCCTTCTCACTAGGAACCTACAAGACAAAATGTGATGCCACACATTTCTAATGAGACTGCCTGTCTGTACATAATTCACACCAGCTACAGTGATTTAGGTAAGTGCTATAATAAATTGAATACAGGTATTTCTAGCATGTAACCACCAAACATTAACAAAAACCTAACCAAAGTCATTGTGGAAAATAGTTTACTAAAATTACTTTACCTGTAATGAAACAAAGGCATAAAAGACTGTAGACGCAAAGTTGGACTCCAGAGTTCCTACGGTGGGGTCTTTCAGTGCAAAGAGAAGGTGAAGATACAGTGTGTCCTTCTCACTAGGAACCTACAAAACAAAATGTGATGCCACACTTTTCTACAGTATATACAGTATAGTAGTAAGTGTACGGATGTATTTAATAAAATCCAAGTCAAAGATCTCAGGACAATTTCTATAGTGATATTTTTGACTAGGTGTGCAACAATAATATCCTGATGGAGCTCTTTGTGTAATCATGGGTCATATTTCAAATGATTTTGGCTTTCTAGAGAAAACATTTAACAGAATTTCTTGCTGTTTGCTACACTGAAAAGAAACAAAAGATGTATGTGTGTGGACTATATCTGCCCTATGTCTATTTCATTACTACATTGTAAATTATAAATGCTATATAATCCACTATAATTATAACTGTCTTATTACCTCCGCCAAGGAGGTTATGTTTTTGCCGGCGTTTGTCTGTTTGTTTGTCTGTTAGCAACATAACTCAAAAAGTTATGGACCGATTTTGATGAAATTTTCAGGATTTGTTGGAAATGTGAAAAGGAAGAAGTGATTTCATTTTGTGGGTGATCCGGAAGAAATCCTGTGGTAAATGGGGCCAAAAATTTTGTTTCTCAATATCTTGGTTAATTATTGACCAAACCCCATGAAATTTGACTCAGGGATGGACAATGGGATCCTCTTTCATATTCCAAAGGCTGATCCGGATCTGATCCAGAAGACTGATTTTATCGCAATTTATATAAAAAATGGGGGTAGTCCATGGCGGAGGTCTGCGCTCTCTGAGTGCTTTTCTAGTTATACTATACTATACATCTTCTTGTATGGACTGATGTGTGTAAATAAATGTCAGCGATGTCAATGTTTCCAATACAAGTCACCAAAGTATTACTCTTACTTCAAAAGCCGGAGCTGGAGTTGTGTACAGGTTGAGCATGTGGCGAGAGGAGGCAGGTGTTGAGGAGTTTGGACCAATAGGAAGACCAGCTTCTGACTGACGCAGGGTGGGAGTGTAGAAAAACTTGGTGGTTCGCTGGAGGCTCTCTGTGGCTGGGAACGCTTTTCTCATGGCGTCTAAACACACTGTCACTCCCTAGGGAAAGAAGTAGGATCACATATTATGTTTTGCTTAAAGATGATATCAATTCAATTTAAAAAAAAAAAGGGACATGAACTTTCTATTACTATATCATTTAGACAACTATAGGTCCAATTGCCCATTATACGTTATCTACCTTTCCACCAGAAAAGTTACATAGTGCAACTTCAAATTTCACTTTTAAAGGGCTCATGATACGCTATTTTCTATTCAAGATTATAATGTTGTTTTATCATCAAAAACATACCCGGAGTTAAGTTTTGTTTCACAGATTTAACACACAAACCCTGCATAATTATTTTCTCAAACTTAAAACATTCATACAGGAAGTGCTCCACTGTGTTTTTAAACTTCATAAACCTTCACTCTATCATTTGAATAATTTCAGCCACAGAAGTGCCAATCTCTACTGAGGTAAAAGGTAAATGTAAACTACCACATTTTGTACTTTGAAGATGTGGACAGACTAATAAACCAGGATTACTATACACACAGCTCTAGGTATATTTTTGAGGAGGTAGCAACATTATAACATGGCTTAAATCTCACAAGAATCTGCTTTGTGTAATTTCGGACCTTTCATAAGACAGTAATTTATCTATGAACAGATGATAACTTGTAAAACAGCCTAAACAGAAACAGCACAAATCTGTAACTGAGCTTACCAGTAGGAAGAACTCAGTGTTGGTGTCCTTGGTGCTGAGGAGCATGGCACTGGCCCCTGACGTCCCGGACGTCATGGCCAAAATGAGGGGCTTCTCAGAGATGACCACCTTTTCTTCTCCAGCTGCAACCCTCTGTATGAGCTCCCTGTAGTGTTCATATGTGGTGATGGGGTGACGTGCGCGGAACTCAGCAGAGTCTGGAAAGTACAGTTAATTTATATGGTCAACTGAAATTGTGTTTGTTTGGTGATTTTTATACTGAATAATTTCTTGAAAAAATACAAAAGAATATGATTTTCAAGTTGCAAGCTTTCATCATTCCCATTAATTTAAACTTATCAGAATTGGAAAGAGAGGCCTAATTCAGATTCATTCAGTGAAGAGAGTGTAACTCATTTGATGTAAAAAAAAAAAAAATCGTACAACTTATTAGTTCTCTTTTTTTAATATTGCCATGATTCAAAGAGCCAAAAATTATGTTATTATATTATGCTTATTATTTCTTAATTACAATGGTCTGTGCTTTCACTCGACTATGCCTTTAGTAGCCAAATAGACAATAACATTAGTCAAAAATTTTCCCACATATATGAATGAAATCAGTTTTCTCTCACCTTTAAGTGACTTAAAGTCGTATTTCCTTCCATAAGTGGTGCCGCCGTGTTTACGCAGGCGCTTCAGCAGAGTCTCCTCCTGAACCTGCTCCACTTTCCGCGTATCCTCCTCCAGTTTTCGCCTTTGTCTCCTGCCCAGCCAGCCCACCACCTTCAGCGCCAAATACTGACTCAGCACACTCCCCACCGGCCGCATTTCAGCTCCTAATTTCGAGCTGAACTCCTTCAAAACCAATGTCATTCCGGTAGCGGTGCTCAGGGCGAGAGCCGCAACAAGAGACGGTATGACTGAAGTTACACAAGGACATGACAAGTATTAGACAAAAGAGGGCGCTATTAGTTCACATTTCATTTGATATTAACTTTCTCTTCCTCTAGTTATGCAGTTACAAAATGGCAAATATCCCAAACTATATTTATTGTCAAAAGCAAATGTTTCATTTGTGTGAAGTCCTCGATGTACTTACTTTGACCCTGGCCCACAATGGCAATCCCAACTGATGCAACAGCGCAACATAGAGTCAAAACAATATAAAACCAACTCAACGCCATGACAAAGATACTTCGTAACGACAGTAGCAATTTTATTGCCTCACATGTTCAATCAAACGCACAAATAGTTAAATTATAGGTTAAAACGCTGGAGAAGTTACAGTCATGTTTCCATGGTTTGCTAGTCTACTTCCGTGTTTGGTTCACATCCGACTTCACTGATTGGTTGAGACAAAGTTGACGTAGACTGTATAAAGTGGCCTACAAAAGTGCTTTCATAAGGTAACATGCAATGTGTTTTTTGCATTAAACTAAATAAAACAATGTAGACACAATTAAGATGATTAATTACTGAAAATCAATGGTCTTTCATAATATTACATGCATCTGATTACAAATACACATATTGTTGGATAGGCTCCTTAGTCTTCTTAGTCGACAGAAATCCCAATGTCAGGTCTTTTTTTCAAAACCTGTAAAACCAAAAGTGACATTAACTTTGACATCTATTTTCTATTTTTATCATCACATGAATAAAAAGTGTCTGTGCACTAACCTGCTTCATTTCCATAGTGACAGCTGCAACAAAAATCAAACAGATGATCAGAGATGAATACATTAGAATTAGAGCATTATCATTAGACCTAACCTGTCCAATCCGATGTGGGTAACACTAAAGGTCTGTCCACAGAGACTCCACAAAGCAACTCAGCCAGCCACAGCACTTCATCTGGACTATCAACAAAAACCTCCTCTGACTCCTGCACTCTCATGTCCTCTGCAAAAAAAAAAACAAAAAAAAAATCAACGTTTGAATGGTACATCATATCTAAGTTTAAAAGTGAATAGTAAAGATGGAAAACATTAATAGCCTGCCACAGAACACAACATCAAATTATCTCTGTTCATGTTTACGGTGATTATCATAATGAATTGGCTAGGACTACACTAGTGCCCCCTTGTACTAAAATTATAGTTGTTTTTTTTTTCTCAGTGTACCTCATTTGACTTAAACTCTCTTATTTGTGGGTAGTAATTACAGTTCAGATATTTAGTTTCTACTTTTAACATCACTATATTTCTCTGTCAAAGGAAGCCACCTTCACAGCTCTGCTCCTCTTCCTCTTCTGTGATGGTTTCCAGTTCAATGGAGCAGCAAGACGAAGAGGGCGTTGAACAGTGAAGTTTCTGCATCAGAAGAGCTGAGTCACAGATGTAAGCCTCCCTGTACAAACAACAGGCTGAACAGAAGAAAATTATGTATGTCTTAACAATTTGTAGGCTGATAAGTTAGTTTCTTTTGGCCCTATCTTAAAACTGTTAAAATGGTATGTAACCTTATAGGGTATGCTCCAGTTCAGCAAAAAGTCATTGAGAGTTTTTGCTTCTTCTTTCCTTTTTTGCTTACATTTTCTTGCCCTCATGCATAATGTGCCTGTCTAATAAGCAAATACAGAACTAGACACAGCTATAAGATATGCTGCTCAATTTCTAGTTTGGAGTACTAGTCAGTTTTATGTGCTATCATTATAAAATTAATCATTACCAAACTTGTTGACCCTTTAAATCCCTAATATTTGACTAATAAGACACATTAAATATTTAGAAATAATTAAAGCCCTGTAGTAGACAAACACTCTGCATAGCTTACGCCTGAAATAAAATGGTATTTTTGTGATTTTGCACTTTCTTGTTTACCCCAACCAATTAAAACACTTATTTTGGTTTAAAAACATTTCATTTGTGATAGGCCTGCAGCTTGTCATTGCATATTCCCGTGGGTTTTGTCTCCTTGGTTGGTGCTGACCTTGGATCTGCTCCATCTGTCGGACATGGCTCAGCGCATCTCTGACTGAGATGGTGAAGCGGTGACTGTCTCTGAGGTGCTTTAGGATGAGCGCGCTGTGGAGGGCAGACTGACTGTAAAACACCAGCTTAGGCAGGCACAGGGAGCCCACTGCATGGATCTCAAACCGGCAACCCTGGAGACAGACAAATAAGTCTCAATAATACCAATATTAGGTATGTCAATTCACTATGTTTACATATCTGATTTAAAGGTCCTTTATTACACTAAAATGACTCTTTAAGCCATCTTATAATGTTGTTCCCTCATCAAGAAAATACCTGGAATTGTTCATTCACATGTTTGAGTAATTGTCTAATAGAAGTCTGTCTACACAGTCAAAGCTCAAAATGTTTTGCTCTACCTTGTGATATCATGAATTTCAAGTTAACCAACAATGAAAATTAGTAATCTTCTTACAATAATGAAATCTAAAATCAGGTTACCCCCAAACAGTCAGTACTAATTTGATGGACAGAACAAGCTCCTGTATGAATGTGGATAGCACTGACACTCACTTGGAAAGAGACATGCTCCAGATCTGTCCAAGTAAACTCATGCAGCAAACACTGCTTCCCCTCTACATCCTGATCCAGAAATAAGTTTAGTTTTAGTAGAAAACAACTTCAAATCAAAGTAGATTGTGTATAGTTTACCTGATAAAAACAGACTCCATTTGGACATACTCCAAAAATGATGGAAAATTTCTGTTCTTTCTTGTTCTATGCATTCATACACAGTTATTTCAATTTCACAAATTAAAAATATCTTGCAAATGCCTGTTTGTACCTGTCTCATCCTGTACACAGTCACTGGCACGTCCTCCACTGTGCTGGCCAGCTTCACAAACTCCATAACAGACTCTCTTTTTGGCACTCCTCTCAGCTCCTCGTGCAACTTTGGACCATGCTGAAGTAGGTAGTTTCTTCCTCTTCTTTTTATGAGCTTTCAACAAACCACAAAAATCAAATGCATTTTATACCTAGGGCAGCAGTATTCAGATCTCATCTCAGTAGCCCCCAAAGGCATACAGTTTTGACACACAGCTGCCATATTGTGAGAAGACTTGTGCTACAGTGGAATGACTGCTAGTCTTTAAAAATCCCTGGAGACAAAATTTAGTTTAGAGTAACAAATAAATGTTGAAGAACAGTCATTTCTTGTAGTTGTTTTTATACTTACTCAGGGTAGCCGCGGGGTCTTAAAAGTCTTAAAAAGGTCTTAAATTTCATGTTCTTAAATTAAGGCCTTAAAAAGTCTTAAATTATGTTGTCGAAGTCCTATTTTTTCACGAAGGTCTTAAATTTCATTAGTCTATTTTTTATGTACTCAACCGGGCTGCAGTGCAATGTTAAATGGAGGGAGGAAAAAAAACAACAATGGGAAATCACAATACTTTGGTTTCTGGCGCCAGCAGCAATGAATAAAGAATCAGTAGAATAGAGGAAGACGTTGGATGGATTATGGGGAAGTGTAGGTGTAATCCACAGTGGCTCTTAAATTCTAAATAGTTGGTTGCTCATTATTAGATTTGGACCTGGTGTTTTTCACCTGCATAATGGTTGTGATGTTGGTCTTAGTCTTTAAAAAGTCTTAAAGTTGGGGTAGTCAAATGTGGGGATAACCAGCTATTGTACCTAAAGCAATGCACTGTGGGCCCAAGTGCTTATGGTTAAATTATAATGCAAAAAATTATATTGCTACAATTACTCAAACACCACATTTAATGGGTATGCACAGTGTTCTGCCCAAGGACACAACGGCAGGCACTGGTCAGAGCTGGAGTTTAACCCCAAACCTTCTCTATCACCGTCCCTCAAACTTTTGATATCGCAATATTACCGTACAGTCAATTTATTTACACCCATAATAATGAACTGACGTGATCAGGATTATGTAGTGGTTTTACCCAAGAGGGGAAATAATCTTCAGGAAGAAAGTAATGTTTGTGTTTTCCTTGGATCTCCAAATCTCCGACTTCAGCCTGGAGCGCGTGCGATGCCAGCTGGAAGAAGAGAGCCTCCTGCTGGCGGATCTGTGAACGCAGCACCTTCTGTCGCAGAGCCGCGTAGTAAAGCCGCAGCTCCCTCCCGCTCCTGAAAATATATCAAATCAATCAACTCTGGGCCACTAAAGCTGTGTTTGTTTTGAAATATTACATTTGTTTAGGCACCGGTCCATTCGGAGTATATGGGAGTTTGCATATGCAGTCAGCCAAAGAGGTAATAATACAAGAAAGCAAAATTTACTTTGAAAACAATAGGATTTTGTTTGTGTTCAATATCTTGTGCTGAATTGATGAGTTCTTTCTTTGACTCAGTTACTGTGTGAAGAAGCAGATGACAATATATCTGTAGTATCTGTACTTAAACTTGATTTTTAAATCATCTTACTAAAGAAGTGTTAATACAGAATGAATTAAGGTTACCTCATAACAACTAATTTGTTAAAACTAAAAATCATCTTGAATATTGCAATGATAAACTAAAACTTAAATCATGCAGCTTCCGACCATTGATCCAAACTTACTGTATCAGTCGCCCACTGTCTACATGGTACTGAACTCTCAGAAATAAGATGGATGGGTCCTGTAATTGTGAAAATCCAGAGTAGAGTTGAATGTTAATATGGTGAGTGTGATGTGAAATGCATTTGTAAAAACTCCAAAGTAAAAAAAAAAAAAAGACAGACTTACAATTTTAGATGCTTTTCTCCATCTTTGCCCTATATACTTTGATAACCTTTGCTCCAAGTCAATGAAGAGGTATTCATTATCTAAAAGCAGAAACACACTTATTGCTGTTTAGGGCTGTTGAAATTGCTGTTTTGTTTAATCAGTGTTTCCTCTGCGTTAGATTGATTCAAAACATTTGCTTTGACCCTCCCTCCACTTAGGCCCTGGTCTCCCTCTCACCTCTGAGAATAGCCAGGCCAAAGATCTGCAGTCCACTGATCTCCAGCTGTTCCAACACTTCAGCCAACACATCCTGGCCCCGACTTTTCAACTGAATACACATGAAAATGCAACTCAATACTTTTATTTTTTTGCAAAGAATCAAAGTTAAAAGATAAAAATTAATGGCTCGCATAGTTTAAACGTTCATCTTAAATGAAGACAAAATAAAGTTTTTGTGTCATAATGAAACTAAATGTATGCAAGTTCCTCATAAGTACTTGAATTTGCCATTTGGAAACAATTTGAAAAAAAAAAAACATAGTTATTTCATTTCCATAGCTTGATAGTACAGCTATTTTGAGCCACAAAATTGGTGGTGGTGAAAAAGATATAAAAACACCATAAGAAGGTAAACAAGTCCAAATGAGCACACTCACACTGTATGTGAATAGTTGTAATAAAGAACACTAAGACTGCTGTTTTTAAAGGTCCCATATTACACAAAATTGACTATTGTAAGCTTTAAGACATGTTATAATGTTGCTACCTCCTCAAAAACATACCTGGAGCTGTGTTTTGTTTCATTCACATGTTTGAGGAACCCTTTATGATTAGTCTGTCTATACCTCCAAAATGCTGTTCCACCTCATGTAGTGGTTAACAGCTACTTTTTACTTTTTGTTCAGTAGAGATTGGCAATTCCAGGGCAGAAATCATCAAAATGAAACTAGTGAAGATGTATGGAGTTTAAAACACAGTGGAGCACTTCCTGTATTACCACATCACAAGGTGGAACGGAGCATTTTCTGTTTGAGAGAACTCCACCTAACTATATAGGATTATTGTGTAAAACGTGTGAATCCAACTAAACAAAACTCCAAGTATATTTTTGATGAAGAGACATTATAACATACGTAGATCAAAAAATAACGTAACATGGACCCTTTAAAGTCAAAGTTTATAATCCACCAAATCCACTATCATGATTTATAAGAAAAATCTGCTACTCACCCCTAAGCTGCAGTCCAGACGCTGCTTATTAGGCAGGAGGACACACACTTTTCGCTTTGCTTTGGACTTCATCCTGCTATTAACCTCAGTGGCTCTCAGCCCTTTTAATCACTCGTGTCCTCCCCAGCCTGCAAAAACAAGCCTACCTCTTATTATGAAAACAAAGTTGAACTACACCAAATAAAGACATCAAACCACATAATGTTGTTAGTCTACTGTTCATTTATTTAAAAACTACATGTCATAATGCCAATTGTGCTTTGCTTTGAAAAAGCAAAAACAAAACTATGACTGAAGCTGGTGATTCTTCTCAGTGTCACAAGTCCATCTTTGTGTCTATTTCTTTAACGTAAAATCTACAGCGATTTCCGCACAAGATTAACTGTAACATGCACAACAAAAAATATGAAAAAAACAAACAAAAAACAACCAAAATAAACACTACAGTGCATTTATAAAGGCACCTGCTTCACAAAACACAGGCATTAGTCCTATACAGTAGTTACATATCATGGGATGTCAGTAATGTAAATAAACATTTCAATGTAAATCTAGACCAATTGTACCATCAGTATCCAAGAATATTACAATGACTTGTAGAGGGTGATATACATTCAAGAGGTAACAACAAACTGCTATCTTTCTGCTATTTTCTATTCTCTATAGGCTGCAAAATACACTTATACATACAAAAACTGCTAACTAAAGGCAGCCCGTAGTAAAACATGCTGTACTTAGTGGTACAAGTGGTTGGGGACGAGATAGGGACATAGGCTCAGAGATGCGTTCACACCCTTTTCATTGTCTCTCCACTTCAGCATAAAAAAGCTTTTGTGCGTATTTTTTGCTGCATTTAAATAACATACGTTTCTTTTCACCAACATGCTTTTCTTTTCATCATCTTGCTTCATAAATAGGTGAGAAAACTGCATTGAAAATATGCAGGAAAATTAAATAAAGTTTGAGTAACATCAAGCAGCATTTTGACCAGCGTATTAACATAAATATAGATTTTTTTTTTTACCACTTATTGCCAGAAATCTTTTCAGTCCATCTCTTCCTGCCCTCAGTAGGCATACAATTTGCCAACACAATAAACCTCAAAGCTGACTTGGAAAGTTACACTTAATAGAGAAAATGGTTTGAAAAAATTGTTATGGTTTTCCGGGGTATTGTACGATCACAATTGCGAGGATTATTCAACTATGACAGTTTCACATCCTCTAATGCCTCTGTAATATATAATATGTAATAAAGTAATGTTAAGACCTGCAATCTATAGCCATGTATCAAAAAGTAAACATCTAAAAGAGGAAGGCATACTGTTATCTTCAAGTGTCTGGACAGCGTACCACAAAGCAACTTTTCATTGGCTCATATGCCCATAGCGGACCTGCGCCCTTCACGTACCAGCCTCATTCAGTCTAAGTGGTGAAGGCTTTTATTGAAGGTGTTGTGAGAGAAAATGCTTCCCCTGAAAGGCGTGACAAAACTGTTTTTGATTATGACAACTGTTTGTTTTTTTAAATGATGTATAAAACATATGAGAAAAGGTGCACTTCTATATGTTTTCAAATGCACTTTTTAAGTGATTTTGAAGGTTAAACAGAGTTGACAAAGCAGCACTGGCAAATTTTGTATCAAAATATTAGTTTTCCACTATCTATAATTGTACACATTAATTAAATTGAAAACACTGTTCATATTTAAACACAATTATTATTTATACAGCACTAGAGTGAATAAAATATTTGACTACTTATTAATTTATTTTTTTTCAGTATGCATATTTTATATTCATTTTCTATTCATGGGTTTCAGCCTCCTGTTATAGGCAACATTTTGAGGACTTTTTACCATTGAGACGATATCATTTTTTGTTTTTAAATTGTTAATCGCTATGGCAACCTTCCACAGTTTTCATCATTCTGAAAGCAATGGATCGCCAGGAGGAATCTTGCTCTGTTGGTTAGGCTACAAAAATGATACAGCTGACCTGCTTGAGTACATTTGTGATATTAAAACCTTATGACTAACTACTGCAACACTACATCGGCAAGTTTTTGACTGGAACGGAAAAGGAAGACAGCTTCAAGTCTTTCTGCTAACAGTGGAGAGGTGTTAGCATGTCACTTAAAGGCACTTCCTGGTAAAGCTTTCCACAGCGTAGCACCTGGGATTGTTTCAGGAGGAACCAGAAGAAGCCCTTGATTGTAGAGGGTTCAGAAGGAGCATGTCCTGTTCACAGTAAGGTGAAGGCTAGGATGTACTGGAGAAGTTTGTTACGGTTGGCCTGAGGTAGGAAGGTGCTGCTCAGCTCCAAAGTTGTAATATTGTTCTCTCTACGCTCCTTTAGGACCTGGGACAAAACATTGTAGGTTTTAGACAGGTTTTCAGGTGATACCACAGCATCTAATACTTAAAAAAGAACTGTATGTAAGGTTTGATTTTACAGTTTATAATATGAACTATCTGTGTCCCGAGACATGCATGCAGACATGGTAAATGCATGTTTGTATTAAATATAATAATATAATTTACTGATAACAAATGCAATGCTGATTTGTTCAACAATTTCCAATCAGATCGATCAGTCTAAGACAACGCACTGTTCATATATAGCCTCCTATAAACTTGAAGCACTGAGTTACTTCAGTATGAGGGGAATGGTTCTCAGGTTAGTTCAGATAACTAGTGAAGCACTTCGTAATTATGTTTTCGAAAGTGGTATAAAAACAACAATTTTTACAACCAAAAATATATTTTACTGGACTTACCCCAAGTTCTTTGAATGTTTTCACTGTATTCTTCACCAGATAGTGAGTTGCACTTTCTCCTGCACAGGACAAAATAATGTCATTTTAATAATTCTGTAAAGTCTAATGTTAGTCCAAACAATCATTTTGAGACCCTCCCTCACCGTAAGCTGCCACCCCCTTCTCGGTGCGCGTGAGAAGGTATTTGAAGAGACGCAGTGTATAGTCAGACTCGGCCATGGGCTGACTCAGGCTGTGGACAAAGATGGCCGCTCCACCATAGGCCTCCAGGACGGGGCTGAGGAGACGCTGGAGGAACAAGAAGAACTCCTGATGCTCTGGTGAAACACTCACCTGTTCAAAGGAAAAGGAAAATAGGGAGATTAAAGAGATTTTAGTGTATGTATAGGAATAGATCGGCTTATGTACAAGATAACAGCTAAATTGTTGTTTGGAAGGTGTAAAAATATAAGATTCAGATGGGTATTGAGATAATAAATGTAAAAAAGTAGCAAGAAGAGTTGATATTTCAAACAAATACTTACCAAGACATCTTGAAGCATATTTTAACACACTTCTTACTATGTGATTTTTATGAAAATCATGATCATGAAAATCCAAATATGTCTTTTTCACCCAGTGTAGTATAATAATTTTAATGTCTGACCTTCAGATAGCGTACTCTTTGCTCTTCTCCAAAGTCGCTGTCTTCATCTTCCTCATCACTTCTCCAGGAGAGAGGCTCAGGAAACTTCTTGGGCCATGGCTCCTCAGTGGGACTTGGGCTCAGCTCTTCCTGATCCTCCTGAAAGACAAACATTGATTTAGCGCACATGTTTTCTCCAGTTTTCCTGTTTGGTTCAATATTGACTGACCTCTGCCACATACAGAACTCCATACTGGATGAGTCTATTCACAGCATCGAGAAAAACTTGGTAAATGGTCACACATGGCTGTGGAATGACAGATGGAAAATGTTGTAAAAAAAAAATTACAATCCAACTTTAAAGAGAGAAAGAGAAACTAGCAAATTTGATTAATGAATTAGGATATCTATGTATGTTAATCAACCAACTGAATAATACAGTTTTATAATAAAGAATAATACATAACCAAATAATACAGTTCATGCAATATTTATAAAACAACTGCAGATGTAGAGATTTGCAGTTTTATTCACACAGTATACAGTTTCACAAATTGAATGTGGTTTTGTGCGCAATATCTAGCTTTATTTAACAATACTTAATTTGTACATAACTCACCGGTGCCACGTTGACTTCATTGATGAGAAAGTGAGACAGTCCTGCAGCTTTTCGAATCAGTCGCTCCTGACTCAAGAGGAGGTTAAAGGGGCTCTCATGTATCTGTGACTCCGACTCCACTAACAGCTCCCTCTGCAATGCCAGGATACTACAGGCTGAAAACAAAAGAGGATTTTAAATAAAGAAGTACACTATTAAATGTTACTGTCTGAAAAGTACTGACCAATGATTGCATCAGGAATGAAGACATGAAACAGGCCGTTACTGTAGAAGTTGAGCTCAAAGAGGGCATTGACGGTCTGGCTGGGCGCTATTGTGAACTCCCCATTACGGTTTGAAGCACTGGTGACATTCACACAGTTGCCCAGCAGATGGAGCGCTCTCATCACCACGTCCTCTGAGTTCCCCGAAAAGCCCAGGTCAAAGTCCCGGGACAGAATCTCCTCCTTCATGTTAAAGAAGTCCTCCACCAGTTTGGACAGCACCACCCCCTGAGGAAGAATACAGCTCTTAAGTATTTTAACAAATATGGAATAGCTTGATGTTGTATGTTAAATCAGTGTCACTACAACAAAATTGGCTGGGCTTAGTTTTGCTTTTCGATTTAGATTTTCCAATCTTGATTTTGCGATCCTCACTGTTTTTATTTGAATTCAATTACTGCTGTATTATTATTATTACCATATGTATCACTGTTGCAGCCTTTGGGATAAATTACGTATTTATCCATCTATTTTCTGTTTTGTGTCATGTCATGCCATTTTCATTTTGTTCTATATTTTGTAAAAAATAAAAATATAAATTATAAAAAGTTAGATCTTGATATAGCTGTATAAACAGTGGTGATGTAAAAGATGTAAGGGCAGCAGCAGAATATTGATTTGGTAAACTTTTAATAAGTTAATACATTTTGCACAAGGAACAAACACACCCTGGGAGAATCATTTATTTAAAGTGAGTACATCCTGTATTCGGACTATAAGTAACCTATGGAGTTTTGAATTGTCCCATATTTCCCACTATAGTCCTTTAGGGGGCAGTAGCTCACTAGATTCTGTCTGCAGCAGGTGTAGTGTTCTGCCAGACTAAAAGATAAAGGAGAACAAAGAATGTGTGGTGTATGTGGGCGTACCTGTCTGTGTCTGTAGAGCAGGAGACAGGCCACGATGTGTGTGGACATGATGGCTGATGATTTATTCGCCGCTGTGGGAGACAAGAGCCAGAGGACATACTGTCAGAGCCCACATGGACTTCCATATTGTTAAGATTAACTCTCAAACTCTGGGGGACAAATTAAAAAGTAAGATTATGGAGAAAAACTTTTGATTTGACATTTACACATGTAATGGTTGAGCTACAGTACAGGTGCATAAAATTATAATGACCCAAATTCTGCATCTTAATATCTTCATCATTGTCCATTGTCATCACAATAAATGATTTACTGCAGGAAAAAAAAATGCCTTAATTTTTCTATATAGTGGCTAAAATGTAAAAATTTTAATTATGCATTTTTCAACTATTAAACTAAAACAACAAACTTTACGTTAGTAATTGAGCAGAAATATAAATTTAACTGTAATTGACTAGAACCAATTAACCATTATTACAGTTGTCCAGTTGTACATTGTCCTCAGAGATCAAGATTCTGGGCAATAACTTTGTGTTCATATACATTTATAATGAATCTATACACTATAAAAGCTTTACTCTTTTTAAATAACTTGAAACCATATTACGTTTTGAACTTCTCATCTTATAACATCAGGCAATTACAAATGACAATAACTAAATAATTATCAGGTTCACCTAGAGTGTGGTTATGGTTTTCTAATGACGAGTCTAAAGCATCTCAAGTATTTGTCATGGTTACAGAGGTTACTAAAGTTCATCCTCCTCCCTTGTCATACAGGTCTGGAGTGTTCTACATTAGTGAACACTTGTGCTGCATTCCACCCCTGTCCTGCTTCCCTGTCCTCTCCTGCCTCCCATTGGCTAAAAACAACATGCCATCCTTCAGGAGGCTCTGTGATTGGTCCAGAAGTAAAAAAAAAAAAATGAAAGTGTGTGAGAATGGAGGGGAGAAAGCTGGGGAGAACCGGTTTGTGTTGTGCTCTAAGTGATTAAAGGGATGCTAAGGGAAAAGACTGATGCAGAGATCAATTTCAATCAATGGTTACATGAGTGGTAGTGGTAGGTGAAAGGTAATAAATATTACATTATTTTTAAAAAGCAGGGTCCAATATTAGATTTTTATTTATAGATTTTTTCAGACAGTACCCAGTAGTCTGCTTTCAATAATTATTGCTTCAATCAGTTATAAAAAATGTGTAATTGAAAAAGCATTTGATTCAATTTTGCTATGAATAATGGGTGCTTGATTCAGCCTATTAAAACTGGAAGCAAAGCCACAAAAATCCAAGGTTTTTTGAAACATGTATCCCAAAATAAAACTATAACTAATCCATGAAAAATAATTTTTTTCACAGTGTTCAAATAAATGTAAATTTAAAAAAAAAAAATGTCCATGATCACGCAGCCTTGACACAAACATGAATAAGCATAATAGGCTGGAATCTGATGTGCAAAGTAAATGTTTCCCAGTAGAATAATGCATGGCTCCAGTGACATAATGCCTTTAGGTGTCTTAATCTTAATCTTACTGTATAGAACATGCTTGGCCAAATTCGTGATCAGATGGCGTCTAAAGATCTCATCGGGCAGCTCTCTGTTGTCCTGTTCGTCACCTTCACCATCGAACGGCACCGCGTCCGGTCTGAAAACAAAAATGGACACTCAGCACGACCGCTACAGAGGCGCTGTGCAAGCTTCTCATATTTTCACTGCTTTCCAACAACTGACAAGTTTGCATTTCACGTTTGTCCTTTAAGCCATCATTTAGATCCAAGTAAGTAAAACTGTTTTGTTTTTGTTAATACATTTGAACATTCATCAGCAGTAAATGCAAAATATTGACTAATCCTTCACATAAAACATAACTAAATTGATATTTTTAAACTTCTTAGTTTACAAAATGACAAATATCAAAGTACTTGTGTAATCTATAGCATTATCAGTTTGTTGTACTGTGTAATCTACAACAATAAGATACAAATAGAAATTGCATCTGTCAGCAGTAATGATGTTGAATATCTGCTGAATAACAGAATTGACTCCAGCTGCTGCAAACTCCTTACTGAGTGAAAGCCTTGTGTAAATATCAGTCGGAGTAGAGGGAGCTAAACTAGATTAGCTCTTGGTACAGTAGATTCCTTGATGTTTATAAAGTTGTCTGATGTGTTAACAGTATGTGTATGAAATGTATGTTGTAAAGTAACTGTCAGTGTTAATGTATTGTCTGAAAAAAGGTCAGATAAAGTAAGATAATTCTTCTTTCTGCTCCTTTTTATTAATTTCTTGTATGTTTAATGTTATGACACTGTTGACCTCTTTTTCATATTTTATGAATGAAACAAATTAACAAATAAAAAATGTAGAGCTTGAACACAGTGCTTTTATCATAGTACAAGACACAAGCCTGTATTAGAGGCAGACAATGAGATAGGTAGTGAATGCTTAAACATACTGTGCTGATATGATACTGGGCATCAGGGTGTGTTCCAGGGACATAGGGGGAGGGACGTGGCGGCTGGTGTGATTCTCTAAGTATTCCTAAAATTAACAAAAATGCACACATTTAGGCCGATGTATATTACAGTCTATAAACAAAAAACATCTCCTTTTTTGCAAATTGTATTTCACTAATTATAACTAAAATTTCAAAATAACCTTGAGGGAGAACGGCTGAATGAAATCCACTCTGACACATCCATAGTTTTTCCTCAGCATTCTGAACACACCACACGCGATTCCCCACAAGCTCTCGTTCTTTTTGGGCTTGCCCTGGAGAGAGAGAAATGATAGATAAATTATGATGAAATTGTTACTTTAATAAATTAGATATTTAATTTGCAATGTAAGTGATATTATAGCTAAAGAAAAATTCTATTCCGTCAACTGGACAAAAGCTTTTTTTCAGTGAAGACGTTCAACAGCTCAAATTCTGGTCAAATTGCCGCTGGACACTGCCTTAGATCTTCCTGAAGAGAGAAGCTAACTACACTGAAACTAACACACCTACTTGTTTACACTTTTCTGTCTGTTAGCTGAATTAAGTCCAAAAAGTGAAAAGATTCAGTCATTCTGCACACAGTAACAGTGTCAAACCTCTTACCAGCTGCTCACTGTTATAGTTGCCTTCGATGATGCGGTCGTAGGAGATGCCTACGGGGACAACGAGCACGTCTGGGATGGTTCCTTTGCACAGAGTGTCCACCACAATGGACAACATGCCGGCCCGCGCTGGGAACACTTTACCACTACGAGAACGAGTCCCCTCCAGAAAGACCTCCAAAAACTGCTGTTGCCGCAGTAACTCCTCTGTGTACTGCGGATACACAAAGTCATTCACGTGAGAATATAGAAAACATTTTATATAGAGAGTATAGAATATAAAGTTCATTTGATGCTTTTTTAAAAATTGGATCAACTAAAGATTATATATTCTGCAGACTATATTAAGGCAATACAGTGATAAAATTTAATTATGATCTCTTATGATCTATTAGGGATGGGACAATAAATAATAATTACGGTATATAATTGTGATAATGGCCATTATATCTCCAGAATGTGCACAAAAAAGCTCATTATGCATGAAGCCTTGATGTTCTCTTCTACCTCATTTTTGTTTTCACTTTTCAATCACAATTCTATAACAGTTGTTTAAATATGGAACTTATTCATAATATTACACTTATAGTTAATCATTTCCATAACATTTTTAAAATGTCAGCAACTTTAATAATTATATATCATATATCATTAATTAATGATACAACATCCCATGCCTAGTCACAATATAAAATCTCATATTTTTCTTTTAAAATGGAGTTAATATGATGGACTGAGATTCTGGAGCCTCCCCCTGCTCCTCTCCAGTGAAACATCTGAGACAGAGCCCCATCCCAAGTCTTCAACCAGCCATCAAATCTATCAATTGCCAATACATATCTTTATCCTATACCATTGTTGTGGCATCGCCCTTGCTAGTGAATGTAGATCTATTTTCAAACCAAGACACTTTCCCCACACCTCCAATCAGCTTAAGCCATGCTCTGAGTGACTGACAAGTGTGAAGTTTCACAAAAAGGCAGAAGATCACTTTCTTTACCTCTTAAGGGCAATATAGATACATACTTTTACATAAATGTACATGAATCGTGATTGTATCAAATATCTAAATATATTAACATTTTGCCATAGCACCCACCCTTAGACTATATTGAGACCGGATACAAGTCTACAGTGAATGAACTATTTGACCCTCATAAAAGAACTGGACTGGGGCCAAAAGTACTGCTGTGTGACGCCTCATGTAGCTCGGAAAATATACACAGCTGCCCTTTGCTTAGACAACTTTTAAAAGGAGACAACATCCTGAAATAGACTGTTGGATAGAACAGTTTAGTTTGAGTTCTGTATTAGATAATTTAACATCAGGTCAAATCCAGGTCTATTTATCTTTGAGAGGAACTTTCTTAAACTATTTAAAACTAAATATAAAAAACTAAAACAAAATGCACTTTTTGTTTCTAAACATGACAAGCTTCTGTGTGAAAACCTCTTGTGTTTAATAATAAAAACAAGAATTTTCGGTTCCTCTATTTATATTAGACAAAGTAAGCAATTCAATACAAACAATACAAACTTACTGCATGTAAAAGCGATCTGTACAAAATATCTTTCTTCCCATTGTTTGTCTCCTCCATTCTCCTACGGATGAAAAATCCTCCCAGTTTACGGATCAGGGTGCTGAAAGTAAATACATTAAAAATGTAACATCGTATTAAGGTAAATTGGTAAACATATCATAAACTTAAAAAAGTAAACTGTGTAATTTTTTCTGGTGGTGGGCTGATACTTTTGAGATGTTAATACTTTACCTAGAATATTCCACAGTATGGCAATAAAATTATCTATCTCCATGAGGACAAGAAAGTGATTCCATCAGGGCAAGTTTCAGTTCAGATATAAGGAGAAGTGAACCCGTTACCAGCGAGAATGCATGTTTTCCATTGTTTTTTTTGGCAAGAAAAAACACCTGTAATTGAATTAAGCTTTATGCCAGACTACGGAAACACAAGCATGCAACAGACCCCCATCAGAAAAGTTACAAAGTGCTCCTTTAAGTATTTGAAATACTACAAATTTGTATTGTATTGTAATGTATTGTACTGTATTGATGAAACATATCAAACCAAATGCGAGTGTTTTACCTGAGGATGGGCATGCTCAGGTTGTTGCCGGCGGCAATGTGTGGAGCTTTGATATTATGACAAAATAGGATCAGAGTTATGAGCAGGTAGTCAATGTGTGATTTGTGCACTGGGAGGAAGACCATGGGCACGTTCTGCTGTAGGGACAAAAACATCCTCATTTAATTTAGAAAGTAAATATGACCCAGAAATATAAAAAAAAATAAAAAATTAAGCTGGTGACCTCCGAAGCAGCTTTCTTAACCATTTCTAGTTGGCCCTTGTGGATCTGAATGCTCCAGAAGAAACCATTGAAGAGTCTTAGTAACACCCATCCAGTCAGTCTGAACACAAAAGTATGCTTTTAAAATAATGAATGAATAAAATGGTACAATTTGTGTGCTTTTGTGAATTTGTGAAATACCTGATAAAAGCAGGTGAAACATTAGCCACCATTTCTTGGAGGAAGGACCGTGCTTTCTGCTTAACTTTTTTGGCAGCTCCGGACGAGTTAGCAGCATCAGTCTCTGAAGCTACCTCTACAATAGCACTCTCCACTCTAAACACACAAAAAGACAACACATCTATTCACAACTATTCTATATTCATTCAGTGTTTGGTATCTAAAATGGGCCAAAAGTTTAGGATACATCAAAACTGACTCTAGTGAGCTTTATGCCATGTTAGAATGGTGTTACCCATCAAAAACATACCTGGAGTTGTGTTTTGTTTCATTCACACATGTTTGAGAAATCCTGCATTATTAGTCTGTACTCTACATCTCCAAAGATCAAAATGCTCTGTATGGAGTTTAAAAAGCACATTGTATTACCACATGACATTACAAGGTAGAAACAGAGTGTTTGAGAAAATAACTCAGGGTTGTGTGTTAAACATGTACATGTTAAACATGTGTAAATTAAAGAAAATGAAACTCCGGGTATAATTGTGATGAGGAAAACATTATAACAGATAAGAAAATAGTGTAATATGGGCCCATTAAATAATACCGGTATGCAGAGAGATCACCAGATGAAATAAGCACAGAAAATTTGCTTAAGCTCTGACACTCATTTGCATCACACCAGTTATCCACATAATTTACATGTGTTTTGACTATAATGTACTTCAAAAGAAACAGAACAAAATACTTGTTATTAGTCATTATTAATAACTAAAAATGTTATTAGTGGGGTCTGTACTTATGTAAAGTGTATACAGACTTTCTAAAATTCACTTTAATATTTTTCATAGTTTGGCAACAGGTGTAGAATAATACAAATTAACTCAATTTCATTCCAGGTACACCATAATGAAATTGAATGATTTAACTGGGTCTGAAAACTTCCTGCATCCTGTATATAGAGAACATGTAAAGTCAGACCTCTCTGACACGTATTGGGTTACACTGACACTTACCTGCTGTTGTTGAGCACATTGTCCACCACATTTCTGGGGAACATATCCTTATTCACGTCTCTTTCCATCACAAACAGGACATAGCTCAGCCTGCGAGCCAACCAGCCCCTCTGCCTGCACGCAAAAGAAAATAAAACATTACATTATATTAACAATACTTAGACCTGCCACAATAACTACTATATCAACTTATCGCTCACTATATGAAAGTTGGAACAATATATTTATTGTGTGTTCATTTTCTTTGTGCTGCGTGGTTATTTTTTGGCTATATAATAAAATTGTATTAATAACTTCTATGACTCATTACAGATGCAAACTAAGTACTAAAGTGTTTATTCTAAAATTTATTGCAGCTCTTTTTTTGTTTAATAAAATTGTACATTTAGAATATTTTTGTGGTTTAAATCTCCTCTTTGGTTATTGTGTCAGTGAACAACTTAGTTTCGTTATTATTGTTTATCATCTATATTTACTTCAGCTATATATTGTACTTCAAAGTTCAAAGTTTGTTATTGTGACAGGCCTAACAATGCTGGTTTACTAAAGCTTAAAATTCTACTGCCATCTTGTCTGGCTTCTTGAATTCAGTGACTGGTGTCTTCTGACAAACAGTTTGAATAATTCAGACGTCTAGCTTTCCACTGAACTAGAGCCATTTATTATACACAGGTTGTTGGGTAGACTTGTAGCTTCAGGCACCTAAATGACTGACTGGACCGTGTAATTTCACAGCTGTCAGAAGCAGAGGTGCAAGAGACAAATGGAAGACAACCAGCTACAGCAAGTTTGAAACTTTTAGATAGACATTTATTCCCTGTGTCTGATTTATAGGAACAGGACAAGATTTTGTGTCACATTGAATCATCCAGCAAGATAAAATTGTCACAAGATTGTGCTTGTCCTGCTGGTTTATTATTGGCCCAGTGTCAAGTTTGTTCCAGAGAGATGATCTAATATTCTGCATATACTGTAATAGACTGCAAACAGAACAATAAACTGAGAAATCTTCATCCATAAAAACCTTCATTAAACAACACAAAATCGAACCTACTATCGATAGTTTCATGGAACTAACTCCAAGGCACTGACTGCAATAATAAAGACACGGCGCCCAGACCAGCATCAAACTCATAATCTCCAACTGTTACTGCAGGGGTAGAAGCTCATTCAACAGCACCACAAAACCATTTCACCTACAACGATTAACTGAGTTTGTTATTTCAAAATAATTCAAAATATCTGACTGTACACGGCCATCTGACTTCAATACATTCAAAGAGATCAGATTAGATTCAACATCTCCCTTGTGTGAGTGAGTCCTGTACCTGGTGTGTGTCTCATTGATGTAGATGACATTACGCAGCCCCAGAGAAGGAATGCTGGAGTTGAACAGTCTCTCCTGTAACACAAATAGAAAGAACATTACGATCAATCATGTTAACTTTGAAATCTACATTCATATGACAACATTAAAGCAATTATACATAAAATCAGCTTTTGAACTACTTTTGAAGACCTCTGCCTTGACTACTGACTTTGAGTCCTGAAATGATCAATATGAACCTGGGGAAAGTGTAAGGAATATCAGTAGTACAAGGTTATTTAGGGTTACGATTGCAACTGTGCTGATAAGAAACAGTTAGGACATTGCTACAAAAATAACTTAACTAATATTGAGTATACGGATTTTTATATTATCTATTATTTTATATCTTTGATTAAATTTGTAGTTATCATGGCTTCTTTAGAAGCAGAAAAACTTAACACCATGGATTTAAATAGGGTCAACATTTCGTTTCTTTAAACTTTGAGTTTTTCTTTTCTTGTCTTTGTCTTTTTGTGAATCTTTGAGTTTATATGCAGAGCCTGTATCAGATGAAATTCCTACCTCTCCTGTTATCTGAGCTTGGATCAATGCACAAGGAGTACACTTGTAATTGCTTAGAACTTTTAATTCAGATACCACATGTGACACTAATGTTCACTTTATGTTACCACTATCACTTCCCAGACTGAGCCCAAGTACATATCCTGGCGTTACAGTTAATTAGATTTGGCGTAACTTTACCCAGCTCTGTGGTGTACAGGAGTGACAGCAGCGTCCTACAAAAGGCCTCTTTCTGTTGAGTAGTCCCTCCTTCCACGTGCTCGTCACACAGCGCAGTACAGACGGGCTGGTACTCCGGTCCTGTTTCACACATAACGCTATTAGTAAGATCACGAATACATAAATATACTAGAGAAGCTTCAACTATGTTAATAAGCCTGAAGTATGTTACCTTCATATCTAATTATGATTTTTCTCACTAATACTGAGCTTGAGGTAAGACTGATGTATGAACTGCTCCACTAATAGAGAAATACCATGCATTTCAGAACATGTTTGTAGCCTTGCATGGTGAGCAGGTTTATACAAATTATCTTGATATGGGAGCCTTTGCTAATTGCAACAAATTGTGACTTTTACTTTACTGTGCAGTCCAATTGATAATCTTGCAATGGGTAAACTGTATTCACTTCTAACAGCTGAATATACAATAAAATGGAAGTGCCAAGAACATAACATGGGATCTTTGAGATGCACGTAATTCATTGGATAAAAAAAGTGTAACATGCAGAGAGTGTAAAATAAACCCATTGCTCCCAAAACACAGAGATTAAATTACACAATGATGAAGACAGCAATGATTTTTCACCCCAAATTGTGACACTGACCGAGTCCTCATTGGGGTGCTTCCAGCGGTTGCACCACTGCTCGCTGCTGTTCACCTGCAGCAGGAGGCCGTCCGAGGGCTCCATGACTCCAGAGAGCAGGCCCCACTAACTGCTCAGCTGAAAATAGAGAACATAAATGATTCATACACAGTTTTTGAAGTTTAAGCCATTTTCTCATATAAGTTACTTTTCTGAGGCATTCTTTTGTAATGTTGATCACTTATTCAGGCTCAGCCACACCTAATAAGACAGTCATGCATTCATAACAATTTATTTAGGCAAAACCCATTTATTTAAATGATAGTGCATCATTGTTACTTTTGTTTATTTTCAGCTGGTACCCTACCAGATGTGACTTTCTCTCTTATAATGGGTATTTAATGTCAAGTTTGATGTTTTGTATAACCAAGTTTTACAATCGCATTTTACTTAAGGTCACATTGTTTTACCATGAGTCCTGATCAAACCTGCCAAATACGCCTCTTTACACGCCCAAATAGTGAAAGGGTAAAGTCACTCCTCCATTTCTTGACACCAGCTGAGTAACACTGATAATAATCTTGATATTTATTTGTTTTCCTACAGTAACTACTGCTACTAGGCTATATAATTTTCACACATATTGCTGTTAAAGGTGCACTGCGTAACTTTCCAGGAGGAGGGTCTGTCACCTGCTTGTCTTTGACGAGGTTATTGCTTTGTCTGAAATATTCCACAGTATGGCATTAAAAGTATGCATCTTGCACTCATTCAACTCAAGTTTTTTTTTTTTTTTGATTGCCTTAAAATACATTCTTCTTTCTTACTATGAGTGAGGTTACCTCTCCATACATCTGGCCTGTAACTTAGCTTGGTGGCATCATGTGCTTTTAAAAAAGAAATCTAGTCTAAAAACATATTACAACACAAAGCAATAAGATCTCCATGGAGAAAAGTTACACAGTGCACCTTTTACTTAGGTTATCATGTTTCCTTAACAAGCACTTCCTCAAAGACTTCTCATTTGAATATTTGTCTTCACATAAAAAGTTCTAGGAAACAACAGTCCCAGAATTTAGAGTGACACGTTTTTATGAATGAATGTGCTCACACCCAATGCAGTGGGTCAGTTGTATAACAGGCGCTGCCTAACAGCTTTTCAGGAACATTTAGAGAGGGCATTCGTGTTTTTAACACACATATACCTGGCTTAGTGTGAGTCTTTATGAATGGATACCCTTTGAGCTATTGTCCCGTTGTTAATAGGTGAAAAGCACACTGGTGAGGCTGCTGGGTTTTCAACGGGTCAGTGACCGAAAGTGCCTCTCAGTGGAGTGACCATGGCAGAGCAAATGAGGAGAGGGGAGATCACCAATTTAAACCTTTGTACTTTCTAATCTTAGACTCGAAAAGTGATTGATAATAATGCAGGTTGAGACTTGCTTTTGTTGCAATACTGAATATAACCACGTATACAGTCAATGGTTTGGCCCCGACGCTATTGGAGACAGTAAAGGTCAATAAGCATCAGTCTAATACCAAAATAAGATAACGAATATTTTACCAAAACACGGGCACTAGGTTAATCCGTCTCATACACACAGGGTTGTCTGCGGTAAGCGGGTCATACACTACTACAGTCGGAGTGACAGATGGTCGGTACAGACAACAATAGCGTACTGACTGGGCAAGCTGGCCGCGTTTTGTTTGTCCAATGGGGAGTCTCATCACTTACAGTATGACAATTAAGCCTTACCGTTCAATAAAATGTGTGAGTGTTTTTTAACATATTTGAATGGCGCCGCACTTGATAAGCACATGAGAAAATGGGAAACTGGACTACAATTAGTGACCCTAGTGTGTCTTTACGCAGCGCTCATGCTTTCAATGAAACCCAATTTAGCCTGACCTTATGCGCAGGGGGCTAGTACATAACATTGAATGAGCTCCACTCGAACTTCAATGTCACTGCACTGCCGTAGAACGATATAATTAAAGCTGTTTTGAGTGGTTAAACATAGAGAATAGTATCAGTATCACGACTGCAAGCCTGTAATCATAACTCACGCCTTTATACCAATCCACGAGGCGGAATACTGGTTTATTTAGCATAGATCGAGTCGCATTTAGCATTAGCTTTGCGGCTTGCTCGAGTCAGATCATCACTTACCTCTAATATACTGTTACGCTGACTCATATCTCAAAAATTACGAAGTCCACACGAATGTCCGGTACCGCAGCACTGGCCCGGCTTCATTCACCGGCGCCTGGTCGTGTTGAGTGGACTGGACACGGCTCAGCTCCTCCATGCAGCAGAGGAGTGTGACTGACCAGGAGAGAGCGCTGATGTTTTGGTCGACAGGCGGCACCGGAAAGTCGGGGGCGCAGTTACACATACGACCGGCACGCGGCGCTAGAGACACTTTCATACCACGTACCGCCCATGGAAGTATACTGATATCATACATGGATCTATTAAAATAACATATCATAAATAATATCATATTATAGAGGTTATTATTAGGTGCCACCTAAGAAAACAACTGGCTTTCTAGTACCACCAGATCTAAACCAAGACTGCGTACACTGGTGTGTGAATGTGTGTGTGAATGGGTGAGTGGTTCCTTGTTGTAAAGCGCTTTGAGTGCCTTGAAGGTGGAAAAGCGCTATAGAAAAATGTGACCATTTACCATTTACCATTTACTTATGTTCCAGATCTATGGCTAATTCAAGACTAAAATAGAACTACAGTGGTTTAAAATAAGAAACTAAGCAAAAGAAAGACTAAAATATGGATGAACTGGACTTTAACTTAAACAGTAGACCTGGACAGGACCTCACACATACCACAGTTTTAAGAAACACTACATTAAAATAACAAAAACATAATACTAACACATATCTTGTGTTTCTGATGTTTTGTGAACATTTCAGCTTTTTTTAAAAATCACTTTGAATAGGTTGAAAATAAATGTGACATGAAAATAACATAATCGCATAATTATTTGATTATTGTTCATATTAACAGTATTAGCCTTTACCTTGTATTAAACTACAAAAGAAGCGACTGAATTATTAAAACTATAATAACTGTGAGGGCTGAGCGGCATCTAGTGGATATTTTTAGAATTACATTCTTGTGGACCGTACCACTATATTTTCAAATGGGGGGCAACGATTTACTTTTTATGTTCAGGCCTGCATGCCCGCATGTATAACATTACTTTTAAAGTCAGATTCATATTTTCAATCAAATTAAATGATAAAGTGTTCAATTGCTGTTAAAATAAGTTAGAGTGATTGTTGTGCGTTCACCTACAACAAACTAATATAATGGTAGCGTCTCTTTCTTTCTATTTCCTCTCTATTCGTCAAGCCACTAGCTGCAGCCATGAGGTGAGCTAAATGTTTGACTTTTAAAGTGCTCTTCGTATTTTAACGTGATACTTTGCTGCTGTTGTGTTTCGTGAGCGTCAAACAAAACAAAAATGTACAGAATTAGTCGCTTTTCAGTAAGATTAGTCGCTCACACAGTCTAAGATTAGTGGGTAAGCTAAAGTGAGACATGTCAGAGCATAACACCGCAATTCGGCCTCGGTGCAATCCAATAAGTTGGCAATGGTTCTTTGCACACTTGAATGTACGCCAACTTTTGATTACCAAAGCATTGTGGTGGTGATTTAGCCTTCAATCAATTCCAGACAGTACTTGTATTATATAACTAAATAAAGATCAAGTTATGTTGATAAGGAGTTACTTACGTGTGTACGTACGCATTTTCCCTTGTGTTCTTCTAAACATCCTAATGGCACATATGCACTGTCTATGGAATGACACTTCTTCAGACCATTGGCTCACCTGTCACTGTTTTCTTGTATTCTCAGCATGCTCAGGCTCCAGAAACGCTTGGCGTCCAGCGTCCTTCGCTGTGGCAAAAAGAAAGTCTGGTTGGATCCAAATGAGACCAATGAAATTGCCAATGCAAACTCCCGTGAGTGATTATAGCTGTAAGAAACGAATTTTAGATGATATTTCTGAATTGCTGAATTTCATACTGTATTTATTATCAGGCCAGCAGATCCGTAAACTGGTGAAAGATGGTCTTATCATCAGAAAACCGGTGACAGTTCATTCACGCGCACGCTGCCGCAAGAACACCCTGGCTCGCCGCAAGGGGCGTCACACAGGTTATGGTGAGTGTCATGTTTTTCTTTATGGATAACTTAGATTTGATTTTCTGTTTGTCATGCAAGTGTTATAAATGACTTGTGGTCCCTGCAGGTAAGAGGAAGGGTACCGCTAATGCTCGTATGCCAGAGAAGCTCTCCTGGATGCGCCGCATGAGGATCCTTCGCCGTCTTCTCCGTCGCTACAGGGAGTCAAAGAAGATTGACAGGCACATGTATGAATACAAAATTATTTGAATCTAAAGTGTTTTTAAACACCACAATCTCTTTTAATCCATATTTTATTTTTGTACTTTAAGGTACCACAGTCTGTATCTGAAAGCCAAAGGTAACGTCTTCAAAAACAAACGGATTCTGATGGAGCACATCCACAAACTGAAGGCTGATAAGGCTCGCAAGAAGCTCCTTGCGTAAGTTTCTTGTATTAAACTATGTATTATCATCAGGCCTTTTTTTTACAGTGGTAAACACAATGTGTAACTTCTTATTGTGATCTCATTACAGTGACCAGGCAGAGGCTCGTCGTACTAAGACTAAAGAAGCTCGCAAACGTAGAGAAGAACGTCTTCAGGCCAAGAAAGAAGAAATGATCAAGAACTTGTCAAAGGAGGAGGAAACCACAAAGAAGTAATTTCAATGTGTATATTCTTGTGATACTCCTTTTGTTAAATAAATTAAGTAAAAATATTGTTTTTGTTAGTTTTTTCTCTGCTTAATAGACTTATTTTGACTTATAATATTATCCATAATCCCAAAAGAGGGCAACAGTGGTTAACAAGATTTGTAGTCCATGGCAAATGATGAATGTTTTAATTTTAATTCTTGCTTACAAGTGTGGACCTCCCTTGTGTTTATGACCAATTTCTTCCAACAACCAATTAATATTTTTGACACCTCATCACTTATGACTGTAGAATGCATGCAAGAGTACAGTATATTCTCACTTTGGGTGAAAAGTTAAATTGTATCTTTACTATCAAACATTTCCATTACAATAAAAAAAAACATGGGTATACTGAAATAACATTTTGGCAGAATCCTACAGTACACATTCATTTCTTCCTGCCTTTTCCCTTTTTACCCTTCTTCTTGGCCTTGTTTTTCATGACTTTGCGGACACAGTGCCCTCTCCACCAGGCCTGGATGATGGTGGCAGCTTTAGTTTTGAGCTCTTTGCTCCTTTGCTCCTCTCTCATCCTCTCCTCTGCCAGCAGCCGTTTGGCCACCACCTCATCATACTCTACCTCCAGAGTATTGTACAGTACCGCCAGGCTGCTCAGCTCCTCCTCATTCTTATGCAGCTCAGCCTCTCTCGCCTCCAGATCAGCCTGAAATACCATCATAGATTTTTTAGGGTTAGAGGTAGACCCCTAAAGAAATTCTTGGTGGACTAAAGACATGTCCTGCCGATCGATTAGTTGACCAAAAAGAGGCCTCTGTATCTGATTCTAACTGCACTCTCACAAGAGGCTCATGTAAAAACAACCACTGAAAAAAGTACTAGAAACATTTAAATTAAACTTGTGAATCATGAGTTTAATCCATGCAATTTAAATACCAAATACTAAATCTTCAGCTAGACAGCCTCGACCAGTTAACTGACTAAACAACTAACGGTCTATAGATCTACATAATATCCCAGTTTATAATTTTAAAATGCTGGGCACTCTGAGTAACATCATGTATTAAATTTGTAATATATCAGGATTTCTCAATAAAATATAAATGAATTTACCTGAATCTCTTCCATTTTTTCATCAAATCCCTCAGTGACATATTCAATATCTGCTTCCAGCACATCAGTTCCCTGAAGAATAAACATGTGTTAAAACAGATTATTCTTAAAGGGGCATTATCAGGTAACCTTACTGATGGACTATCTGCTACCTGCTTGGGTACATAGAGATACAAACACTTTAAGAATGCATGTTTTTCAAGATATTTTTAGCAATAAAAATCTCTAATTTAATGAAAGCTGCATTATACAGTGAACATTTTAAGCAAAGCAATAAAATCTATAAGGTGACAGACCCCCTCCATCAAAAAAGTTACAAAGTCCACCTTTAATTACCTCCTGAATGTTTCTCTCTTTCATTCTGTCCTCCAAAAACAGCTTATTGAGCTGGGCATTGAGTTGGTCCAGTTCTTGCTGAAGTCTTTGCTGCTCTGGTGTGCTCACGTATGACTGGTATTCTTGATCTGTGAGAGGTGTCTCAGATTCTTGTGGTATTTTCAAATTATCCATACTGGCTTTACAATCCTCTATCTGAAAAGCAAAGACGTAATTAAAGTTAGTTAATAGTAATACATTATGAAACCTATATAAGAACGCTTAGAAAGTGTTTTACTTTTTCATCAATTCTGCTCATCAGTTTGGTCAAATTTGCAATTTTCTCATCTAGTGCTACCTCGCTTTTAGGATCTTGCAAAGGAGAGATCTTCAACATGGTTTCTTCTTCTTTGGTTTCTTCAAGTGTACAGTGAATTATTGTTGAGATTTTTGTAGAACACCTGCTCCGTTTTTCCCATTTCTGTATCTAATCCTTGTTTTATTTGAGCAAAATCAGCAGGAGCATTTCGAAAACACCTCTTCACATTTTTGTAGGACCTTTTGAATTCACTTTTAAATAGTGCATCATTACCATCTTTTCCCACTATACCGCTTTGCTCCTCCGTTCTCTCTAATCTCTCACATAATGACTGATGTGTTTGAAGTGCCCTACACAGTGAAATGTCCTTGATGTCAGCTACGTGGTCCGGCTGCAAAGTCAATGCCACTTCCACTTGACTGAAGCAGTTTTCCAATAAGGTTAAAACCTTTTGTTCCTCCTTAAACTGCACTGTTTCTTTGGGCTGTTGCTTGAGAGTTTTTGAAGTTTTCCTCAAGTTGGAGTTTTGAGAATCTGAAGACAATAGAGTTGACTTCATAGGTTTTGTTATCACTTCCCCAGACATGATGGGAGGTGGCTATAGCAATAGAAAGAACAAAAACACATGGTTAAAAATTAGTCTATAAAAATACGTTATTGTCCATCACTTCTATCTAGTTCATCTGAGCACCATCCCACAAGAGGTACAAAATTTCTCGACAGTCTGTAGCGTATAATTTTCTAGGTGGAAGATCCAAAACCATCATTCTCCATGAAGATGTTGTTTTGCCTGGAATGTTCCAAAAAAGGCATAAAACATTTCAATCTCCACAGAG